CCCCAAAAAAAACCCCAACTATTTCTGCAGTACTAGAGAAACGGTTTTCACTAGTTTTAACCGGGAGCAGATGTTATATAAACGAAGGGTCTGATCCGCTATGGGCCACCGGGTGATATTTCCCTGGTGTCAGTATTAAAAATAGGACATAAACATATGGACGTATTTTCCATGTCTAGTAAAGCGACACACGTTTTCATTACTTTATATCAATCTGACTTAAACTCATACATAAATGTTTCTGTTATTGTTCTGATCATTTGTTGTTATTTAGTTTATTAAAAAAAACATAAAAAACTCAAGATGGCAACCGTGGTCTCATGTTAGTGGAAGCATTTCAAATTCTTATCTAGTTAAGTCAAGGGTGGTCGGGTGGCGCAGTGGTGGGTTTTCTCCGGGTACTCCAATTTCCTCCCACAATAAGACCCCCGCGCGCTAACATCCGGGCCAACAAGAGTGATTAATATAAGTTGAAATAACTTGTTTCATAATTGTTGTAAAATAAATAAAGTTTGTATTTGTCTAGTTAAGTTGACAAAACAAACAAGGTAAACAGCACAGGCCCAAAAGTCCTCTTGTTCTCCTTTTGAAACCATCCCTCAAACACATACAGTGCACAACTCCGTTCAGTCTCTGGATCCGCTACTGTGTATGTTATATAAATAGATGATCTGATAGCTAATAATTATGCTCGAGTGTTTCAACCAGATTGGTGTCACCAGGGATTTCAGTTGACTATTGACATTTTGCAATTTCAGAAGTCAAATAGAATTTTCCTTGAACTTTGAAGAGTCAAAGCATATGTCAAAATGAACGGTCGTTAAAACCGCACGTGACAAATCGCATTTATGAAGTCAAAAGAACGCTCTCCTTGGTTTACTGAAAGCCGTGGGCATTTGTTCACATGATTACGTTCGTGTTTAATTTATTGTACAAATATACAAATGGATTGGACAACAAGTTATAACAACTTAATAATATAAAGACTCTCTCATGCCCAGGGGTGTAGGATAGGGAACTCCTCAATACATCTGGTAAATATATTGTACATATATGTTTTGGGGAACAGGAGAAGGAAGGGTGTGGAGGTGGAGGTGGGGTGGAGAAAGGGGATGGGGTTACCTAGAAAAGAAATCGTGTAAACTGTGAAAAGTATATTCGCATTTGAATAAATTATAAATTATACAAAATTTCATGACATAGTCATTTTATAAAGCGCTTTAGAGGGGCTTAGGTTAGCTAGATAGGGCACTTTATCAAATGGTGTATATTAATTAATTAATAAATAATGAACAAAATAAGTAATCAGGCAAATAATGAAATGCAATTTCAAAAACATATATGACAACGTACACGGTTAAATAAAAACAAGAGATCCCAGAGGGATCTTGAGTGATTAATATAAGTTGAATTCATTAGTTCTTTGTCAGTTGATCTTTTCTCTTCTTTCCTCTAATCTGTTTGATCGAGTCATGTTAACAGTAAATGCACCTTGAGGTAACTTTTGATCTAAACTTAATACTGATGTGTATGAAAGCCAACTTTCAAAGTGAGTGTGTCATTTCACATATTTACTAGTACAGTACTTAATGTGAAAGAAATAGAATCGATCATTGCAATATGAGAAAGATCTGTTTAGTTCTTCTTTTAATCCATTTTGTTTTAATGATCAGTCTCAAAATATAACATGCACAACGAGAGATCAAGGGGAACCTACATATAAAATTTTAAAAAGATCCATCAAGTACTTCTGCAGAAATAGCGATAACAAACTTTCAATATCAAAATCCAAAATGGCTGCCTGTCGGTCATGTTGTTTATCCAATCAGTCTCAAAAGTTACCCTGCACAACTAAGGACCAAGGGGAACCGACATATGAAATTTGATAAAGACCTCTTTGGTACTTTTTGAGAAATAGCGATAACAAGAATTGTTTAAGGACGGACGACAGACGACGGACGGACCACGGACGCAGGGTGATTTGAATAGCCCACCATCAGATGATGATGGGCTAATAATAGTAGATATAATTATCAAAGTCTACTTTGTGACAAACTCGATCCCAATTAAACACAAATTGCTGAAACAGTCAACGATATTAACGTTATGTTGCCGAGTATATTTGTATACGTATTCAATGTCGTTAGTTTGGACATATTATTTCTGTTATTAACAACCCTTTGTTTCAGTATATGAAAAGCAACCCAAGGTCATAAAATGCCAAATGAATTGGAACTCTTCTTCGTTGGAGATACAACACACCTCTGGAACTCTATACCTTAATGGCAGTAGTAATTAACATACCTCTTAGTGGTCCGCTTGTCGGTCTTCACTTGAAACTTCCCTAGTGTCAGAAATAATGATGAGTCGTCTATCTTTAAACCTTGTAATCCGCCTGGTTAATACAAATATGGGCAGCGTTCGCTGGATTTTATCATATGATGGTCATGTTATCAGTAAAAAACCCACATGTCATATTTTTATGTATTGCATCATGTCATATTCGAGAGTATTTCATCAGGTTAAATACATCCAAAAAATATCTGGGGAAATCCAAATAAGAAAAATGTGGGGAAATGAAACTGACAGGATATACTGCTGTTGGTGATGGTTGGACTGTGGTGCAGGCGTGTAAGGAAATTCAAATCTAGTATTGTAAAACCTTGAAGGACGAAAGTTTTTATCTTTCTTGCTATGGAAATATGCTTTTTTTTTTTTAAATGTGGGTCATTCATTGTTGTACAGAGTTTTTAAAATACTACAACTCGCCTTAAAATAATGATACAGTAGTGACACATACGTAGCAGAAAATGCATCAAATGCACTTAGTACCAATACTGCAGTAACCATACGACATACAAAACAGGTTTTTTTCGAGTTGCCTCCCCTGTACCAATCACCGCGTAAAATGTACGACCGCTGTACAAAACCTTGTCGTTGCTGTAGGTGACAGAACTGTCTGCTAGTGTGTTACATATTGCCCACGTTTGTTATGGAATACAGCGTCTCGAACAGAAATAATACACGTTTACAATATCTGTATCAATAAAAGGAAGACTGGCTGAAGTCTATTAAAATTTTAAAATTAAAATATGCCTCAGGCTCTGCCAGTTTAATGTAATGTATCATTGAGAACAGAACTAATATAAATGACTTACCGCGGTCGCTCGGGAGGCTGATAAACTTCATGTCGTATACACACTTGAGTGACTTACCTTAACCATGGAATTAGATTATCTAAGTCCGTGCCTTAACCGGCCACAAAAAAACAGATACAACGCTTCCGGTTATATTTTAGTAGGTCAGAGACTTGATAACACTACTCAGAGACGTGTATACTGGCTTTATATTCTCTGCATGATTGAAATACACTGATAAAATGTATATACTCCGTTATCCAGCAAAAGGTCTCGTTTCAAATGTAATACAATTTGATACGAAATAAATAATTTCAATCAAAAACTCTCTAAAACTCGGTAAAATGTCAAGTGTGCCGCTGTTTGTCAGAGAGACCTAACATTCTTTATTATACCAAATACACAACATAGACAAAACATATTAACGATTGATTTTTTTTTTCCATAACGTATACAGTACGTTACAGAATTTAAAGCAACGTGCAAGAAAGTTAAAAATCCGGATATAATTTGCAGCTGTTCGCTTTGGCTTTTATAGTTTCATTAATGACTTCCGCTTCGATCTGCAGTCGGTCGCTGGCGCCAGAACCATGAATTTAGAGCTTCTTGGTAAGGTTTCTAGTTAACTTATCCCATTGTTTACATTCTTTAATGTTTTGTTTAACAGTGTCGCTTCATTTTGTTTTAATTAGATTTCTGATAAAGTAGCTATTTGTCATCATGCGTTCACAGAATGATGCTGACAGACCGATTGTTTTTGTTTAGAAAGTACGAATGTCAATGTCACTTTATACAGCTGATATAGATTACCGTATCGTTATTGTAAAAGATCCGCGTTTTTTTCGTAGTGTATAACGGGTTATTTAACAGCCTTTTGTCTCTTTTCAGAATCATTTGGACAGAATTATCCTGAGGTAACAATCCTGTAAAGATGAAATTTTAAGCATTTCTACAAATCATTGTAGTTTTTTGACAATTTTGTGATGCTGTTTACTGGAGTCAGCTATCTAGCAGTCTTGTTAGATGTCATTTAGAGGCTAAATGAGCGAACTTCGCTCAACTATTTTTTTTAAAATAATGTGGTAAAAAATGTATTTACAATATTAACTCTATAAATGTAACACATAGTAAACCTCTCACGTTATACATGTAATGCATGAAATGTGTGACTGCAGTATATACCCCATTAATTAAGTTTCATTTCAAACTGTATCTTCTTGACAGGACTTTGATGGCACATTGGACTGTGTGAGCATTGCCATCACATGTGCCTTCAACAGACAAGGGACACTACTGTCTGTTGGGTGTAACGATGGCAGGATCGTCATCTGGGACTTCTTGACAAGAGGAATTGCTAAAATTATTAATGCCCATGTCCACCCTGTGTGTTCTCTAAGGTAAGAACTGTGGTACTATATGTTTAAAGGTAACACATGTACCTGTGGTGCTATGTGCTAAAAGGTAATATCTGGGGTACTACATGTTAAAAGGAGGTTTCAACAATTCTGCTGAGTATGAGTGAAACCTGTATAATCTTTAAAAAACGTGAGACACAAACACATTGATCAGATTAACCGATCTAATCTAATTTCCTGTGTGACAGCACATTGGTCAGATTAGAGAGGCTGTCAGAATATAGGTATTATTTGGTAGGTATGTGCTTGCAGCATTATGTTGGATTAGCCAGGATGTCAAAATCCTCAGGAGTCAGATTAGACAGATAATCAAGTTTAACTCATTCACCACTGAAGACCTACTGACACATTTTAACTCCTCCAAATCAAAGGCTTGAATAGTTCATTATGAAATTTCAGAGGCGAATGAGTTAACTTAACATTACAAATCACCAATTTCATCTAGACTCAATTTACTCAATTAAAGTTTTTTTCAATTCTATAGAAATATATATTTAATCTTGAATCACTTGTTTAAGTAAAATGTATTTGAAGATTTTTTCCAAAATCTCCATCCTATTAAAAAACAAAAAACTTGAGTTTATACACATTTTTTGGAATGTTAAATTGAGCTCAAGGCGGAATTTGAATTTTGTTTGGTATTTCCAAACAGTGAAGTTTGTAAAATTGTATACAAATATATATCTTATCTTTAATCACTTGTTTAAGTAAGATACATTTGTAGTTTTTTTAAGCTCCATCCATTTAAAAAAAAAAGAGTTTATGATAATACTTCTGAATAATACATCGAGTCCCAGTCAGATTTTAATTATGTATGCAGTTGGAGTCGGAATGGACATAAGTTGCTTAGTGCTGCCACAGATAACACAGTATCAGTGTGGGACGTGATGGCTGGGGAGTGTGACAAGACCTTCCGATTCCCATCTCCTATACTCAAAGTCCAGTTCCACCCCAGAATCAGGTACAGTCCCTATGTCACTAGTACAATGTCTACTTTCCTCCTCTCGAAATAAAACAAGAACCAAACAGCATAGTTCCAAATTCATACCTAAAAATAATGAATGTGTGCAATTCTAGAATTGATACATTCTATTAAGGATAAAAATTAGACGTTTGAAATGTAAAAATAAAGTTAAAAAAATCCTGGTTTTCTGTTCTTTTTAATAATGTAGCATTTTTGATTTTATTTTGCATGTTTTGTAACACTTTGGTATTTCATAGTGTTATAATTTTTCGTTATTTCTATGATTGATATTAAATTTCTTTGAAGAATATAGTTATACAAAATACTCATTCCAAACATTGGTGTAGGAACTTGTCAAACTACAAACTTGAAATAGTAATTAAAATGAAATATCACAAATTATGATTTTGGTATATATCTGAATTATTGAATTAATGTAAAACAAACACAGCTTTACAGTATGCAAGTCTTCCTCAGCAAAAAGCTGCTTTTAGTTGTTTGAGAGCTGAGGACAGAACCATACAGCTAAATGTTGGTTATGTGTTTGTTGCAGTAAGCGGTTCCTGGTTTGTCCGATGAAACATCCTGCTGTGATGATGTCTATTGACGGTACACATACCACCATACAGATGGACGATGATGTACGAGCACTTTCTGGTTCATTTACTAACTGTACATTCGTTTTTCATAGACTTACCCCTGTCAACCCTCCACAGGGGTTTTCCTGGAATCAGTTATTTATTCTGTCCATCTTTATGAAAAAGTTTTGTCTCTTACAAACTCTGAACTCCTCTTTAGACTACGGTATAATTCCACAGAGGTGATAACTTTAGACTACGGTATAATTCCACAGAGGTGATAACTTTAGACTACTGTATAATTCCACAGAGTGATTATGTGGGTTTTTAACTTGGTTGCTAAAAACTATGATTTGTAGAATAATATGACCAGTGTAAAATGTATCCACGATAATACACTTCATAATCCAGTGTTCTCCCCAGAATGTTTTGAAAGAAGCATGGTATTTCAATATTTCTGTTAAATCAGCACTTTGTAAAATCAAAGCATCATGGTAACTTGATATCTACTATGAATATATATAGCAGAGAAGATCTAGGATAGCAGCATGGCAAGAAATTATAGGAGCATGGGGCCATGCTGCAAATATAGCCTGGGGAGAACACTTTAATCATAGTGTCCTCATGAAATAGCATCTGCGGAAGGTCTACACTAGGCTGTCTAGTATAAACGTCCTCCTGTGTATTGAAAAGAAATGTCCATTCGCAAAACTTTAGAAAAACTTGATATGTAATTTACTGGCAACAACCTCAGGGGCTAGTTTTGTGACCGATTAAATTATAGACCTTACTGTTGAGCATGTTACAATTGAATTGTTTTGTTAGTTTGCCCTTATGATGTCCCAGTGAGGAATCTGAAATCCACCTAACCAGTACTACCATATATTAAAACAAACAATGTGGATCTACTACAAATAAGATGCAAAAAGTTTAACGATATATTTGTAAATATTGAAAAATAGTAAAAGAATATGTGAGAAAAAAAGTAAATCATTGATGCTGAAGGTTGTAAATTTTGTATTCTATTACTAACAATTAAGGAATATATTTTTTTGTTTTCCAGTCAGATCTGAACATCGTAGCAGCTTTTGATAGACGAGGTAAACATATCTACACAGGCAACGCCAAAGGACGGGTAAGAACAGTTTTACCATGCTGTGTGAAAAGAAAACATACATATTTTATTAAGGAAAGAGAAAACTTCTATTTTAAAATGTTGATTTTTCTTAGAAACTGTTAGAGCTGTAGTGATGTCGGGTTTATCTTGAACATGTGAATGATGTCAATAGAAAGTTTGATTATCGGTATAAAAGAAAAATTAAGTTTCTTAAACAACTTCTATTTCTATATTTCAACAACATTTTGAATAATGTAGATTATGGATATGTTTAAAAATCTCCAGTTGTTTAGTTGTAAAGTTGAGAGAAGTGTAAAGCTTACACCGTTGTACACTAGAATTGTACTATTTTAAGACTAGGTAGTGCACTATGTATAGACTAAGGTCTGTATTACACTTTGATATATGTCTACTTAATATGTAGGTACATTTACTGGAGAAACACAGTTGTACTGTTGGAATCTAAATGGATTGACAAACTATATTGGTTTATATTAATTGTAATGATTGTAAGAATATTTCAAACTCAATAACTTAACTAGGTAGTCTTTTGCCACTAAATGCAATGAAAAAACACCAACTACAATAAATTCTTGTGTAATAATAAACAATTAGATCTGGTGTATGTGTTTGAAAGTTTTTGTACAAACAGGGAATATTCAAATCATATCTCAAATGTTATGATATCACTTTTAAATTTTCAATATCCAGCAATTACCTGATTGTGAAAAGATTCATGTAGCACAACCATTAAGTGTTTTATGTGAAATTTCGATGACTTGTACAGTATGTACTCTGTCACCTTCATCAGACAAATAACCAGTGAAGCGTATGTACAAAAAGATGTAAAATATATATGAGGTGTCAACAAATCGATGTTGATATACCGGTACTCTTTTTATAGGAAATTAATTTTTCAAATGCAAAATTTGAAACTCTTTTTTAAGTAGCTCTGAAGTCAATGCTTTCTTGTAAAGAACACAAAAGGAATATATACTTATATAATTTGACATTTAAACCTTACCCGGTATTTACACATTTCTGTTACTGTTATGATACAGAGTTTGTCAATAGTCAGATATGTTGATTCTAAAAAAAAATAATTATATTACAAGAATAGATTTTATACTTCATTCAGACAGTTTCATTCATATAATGAAAAATTTAGAGGATATTTGTTGGAGGTACTGAATAGGCTCTACAAATATTTAAATTTAATGGTGTGATTAGTATGTGATACGTTTTCTATAAATATGTAGCTCCGATACAAGACATTGCCAAACATAAGACCAGAACAACTACAGTAAAACGTTTAACATGTGAGGGAAGAATTATGCTAATAATCAATATTTGTGTTTTGAAGGTGCTTGTTTTTCCAATCAAAGACCTTACCAAGTTGGTGGCTTCATTCCGTGTTACAACAGGGACGTTAAACACAACAGCTATCAAATCTATTGAGTTTGCTCGACGAGGAGAGTAAGTTTACACTAAGTTCAGCTATTAAATATAGATCAAGTTTACATTCACAGGAAACATGGAGTGAATGCTAATAGATTATCATGATTTGTTGTATTTTTATTATGAGTATTTGTATTAACTTATAAAAATCAATAAAGCCATTATCAAAATTCAGATTTGTTTCAGAAGTGTAGTGATACAATATCTGTACAGTTTCTGTGCCAAAGACATACTTTTTTTTTATTAAATATCTGAACTTGTGAGCTTGGTTAATTGAAATATCTGAACTTGTTGTTTTAACTTTTGACTGAAGAAACTGAACTTATTGTGTTGACTTTTGACTGTGGATCTTGGTTAATTGTAGATGTTTCCTAGTCAACTCTGCTGACCGGATCATTCGTGTGTATGAGAGCCGGGAGGTTATGACCTGTGGGAAAGATGGTGAACCAGAACCGATACAGAAACTTCAAGATCTCGTAAACAAGTAGGTCTCGTCAACAAGTAGGTCTCGTAAACGAGTAGGTCTTGTCAATGAGTAGGTCTCGTAACAAGTAGGTCTCGTAAACAAGTAGATCTCGTCAACAAGTAGGTCTTGTAAACAAGTAGGTCTCCTAACGAGTAGGTCTCATAAACAAGTAGGTCTCATAAACAAGTAGGTCTCATAAACAAGAAGGTCTCATAAACAAGTAGGTCTCATAAACAAGAAGGTCTCCTAAACAAGTAGGTCTCATAATTAAGTAGGTCTCATAAACAAGTAGGTCTCATAAACAAGAAGGTCCCATAAACAAGTAGGTCTCGTAACAAGTAGGTCTCATAAACAAGAAGGTCTCATGTCTTCATTCTTTCTTACTCTTCTCTAATTACCAAATCAGTGTTGTGTCTTCCTCATTACCAAGTAGATTTAAGAGTTTTGGAGGTCCTGTGTTAAAATCCAAATTTGGATGTGCATTTTACCTCTCCTGTTAATTTGGCACCAAACTAAATATACCCTCGTAAGATGGTTAAAGGTCTCTTGCGTCTTCAGGGACAAAGACTTTTAATGGTGGGAGGAATGTATAATTGTACTGGGTTGATAGCCAGCGACCAGTAAACTCAATTGGAAGAGCGTCTGCCTAGAGAACGGGAGGCCAGTGTTTGAATCCCTGTCTGGCAGTGCATTTTTCCTCGTTGTTCAAGTTCCGAAAATCGATCTCTGAAAATGAAAGACAAACCGCTTGGGATTCTTAGGATTTTTTGTAATTTGTTTATTATAAGTGAGTTCACAAGTATTTTTTAAGTAGACATTTCTTTTGTTCCCAGCCTATATTGTAATATCTTTGTTTTTCAGAACCCTGTGGAAGAAATGCTGTTTCTCGGGTGATGGTGAATACATTGTAGCTGGATCGGCCCGTCAGCACTCCTTGTACATATGGGAGAAGAGTATCGGTAATCTGGTGAAAATTCTCCACGGCACTAAAGGCGAGCTGCTCCTCGACGTAGTGGTATGTATTTTTTGGAAATTTCTACCACCAAGTAGAATATACTTTTCTCTTACCCTGAACAGGAATATCCTTGTTTTGTTATAGGGTTTACGTGCCAGAATTTCTCACATTGTGTTTTGTGTTTGCCTTAAGTTCTATTAAATGTATTATGAGTGGAAAGATGTTTTGAAATTCAGTATTGCTAATTACAATCTGAAAAATCAAAATTATCATCACTAACCTGCGAGCCTATCAGAATAAATTGCAGCTCTAGAAATTTATTCATGGTCTCAATTAATTCAACGAAACAATTTTTTATTATAGATGCAGCTAACCATGCATGTAAATTTTGTGTCTTTATTCCAGTGGCACCCTGTACGACCCATCATAGCCTCCATATCAAGTGGCCTGGTGTCGATCTGGGCACAGAATCAAGTGGTAAGTTAGCCTTCATATCAAGTGGCCTGGTGTCGATCTGGGCACAGAATCAAGTTGTAAGTTAGCCTCCATATCTAGTGGCCTGGTGTCGATATGGTCACAGAATCAAGTGGTAAGTTAGCCTTCATATCAAGTGGACTGGTGTCAATCTGGGCACAGAATCAAGTGGTAAGTAAGCCTTCATATCAAGTGGCCTGGTGTCAATCTGGGCACAGAATCAATTGGTAAGTTAGCCTCCATATCAAGTGGCCTGGTGTCAATCAGGGCACAGAATCAAGTGGTAAGTTAGCCTCCATATCAAGTGGCCTGGTGTCAATCAGGGCACAGACTCAAGTGGTAAGTTAGCCTTCATATCAAGTGGTCTGGTGTCAATCTGGGCACAGAATAAAGTGGTAATTATAAATTAATCTCCATATCAAGTGACCTGGTGTCGATCTGGGCACAGAATCAAGTGGTAAGTAAGTCTCCATATCAAGTGGCCTGGTGTCAATCTGGGCACAGAATCAAGTGGTAAGCATGGGAACAGTCTTCACATCAAAAGTCTTCTCATTTCACTAGTTCTACTTACGTTACTTAAAAAAATGGTATGATGTAGCCTCTCTGTGCACTCTATCTGATAAATATGTCATTTATCCAAATTATAATGTATCCTTTTAATATTGTATAGGAAAATTGGAGTGCGTTTGCACCAGACTTCAAGGAACTTGACGAGAATGTTGAGTATGAGGAGAGAGAATCAGAATTTGATATTGAAGATGAAGATAAGGAAAAGGAAGAAGCTAAAGGTAAGAGACGTTTAGTATTTGTATATAAAGGCCAAAGTTCACATACAAAGCTCAATGTCCTCCGGTTAGTGGCACATGTCAGAGTGATATGTCCAAATGGTTTAATACTGTTTACCAGTAAATTTTTACCCACCCAAACTTTGGTGATATACTTGTGTATTCGCCAAGTATTAATTTTGCCCTTTGCATTTGATTGGTATGTTTATTATGTTGTTTACTAATGTCTGGTCTAATGATAAATTTGCCTGTTTCCAATCCTTAATTATGATGATAAAATTCAACATTTGATATAGCGCCCTATTTAGCTAGAATAAGCCACTCTAAAGCGCTTTACAGTACATAGGTATACAATTTATACAATCAATACAATAAGCATATACATTACAATTTTGAGGTATTTGCAGGAGCTGCCTTATCAGGCGCTAACTACTTGTCCTATGCCACCTGGCTAACATCGCACTATGCATGTATGCCTGTGTGTGTGCTGGAGATGTATTCCTTCACACTGAAAAAGTTGAAAGTTAAACTGCGGTGAAAGTTTCCCAGTATACAATATCTGTTGTCATCAATAGCACCACTGCCATGGTGCTGACGTCATTCTGTTACTAGTCCCCAACAAGTACTACTGGACGGAAGCATAGCTGTCAACTTCTGAAACCTTCATTAAGAGAGATCTCCCTCATTCCATATCTAAAGTGTGTGAAAAAGAGGAAGTGTTTACCGCACAAATCTCACATTGTTGAGCATATAGTAATAATGACTGCATTATGAAATTTGAAAAGTAACTGAAAAAACAGTCTGTCTGAGGGTCAGTGTGTCCCAGGCAGACTCTCATGCTCTGTCATCTACAATTACCATATTTTGTATGAGACTATCTCCTGGAAGAGTGTCACTGAAATTTTTGTTTGTGTCCCAATATATACAGAGCTGTGGCCCCTTGTTCACTGTTGGTCACACTCTGCGCGGGTATATTTGATATACTCAGTGACAGCCAACTACAATTGCCAAACGTTTTGTGCATCTCTTGGAATTTGTGATTACCTCCTGAGATGATTGTGTGTCATACTGAAATTGTGTAACACTCTCTCCTGGGATAGTTGGCATACTGAAATTGTGTAACAATCTCCTGGGATAGAAGACGTTGAGTTTTGTCATAGAATGGAATTGTGGTGCGATAGATAACAGACACAAGAAATAAAGTTCACATATTTATTCACTCCAGCAAGTTAAGTTCACCAGTAATCCATACACGTTCACGGCACATTCATTCATTCCTCTCCGTACATTTCTGCTATATGCCCTTCACACTACATCTATACTCAGTCTCTACTCTTACTAATCTACGACTAACACAAAAACTCTGAGACTAACGAAGCTTTGGCTACTCTATACTCTGACGATTCTGAAGTGTACCCTTTCCGTTATATATGACGGACCTCAGTATTTATTTAAAATAAGCTAAACACGACTATGGGTCAAAGTGCTATCAGATAAGGTCTTGCTGTGCACGTGAACATTATTGATTAATTGTAAGACCGGACCAGTACTTACTGAAATTCTATAATTTCTTCATGGCAGTACCTTGGCCTCATTATATATTAAGCGCTTCCCAAATAAAAATCAATACTAACTACTGTAAGTTTTCTGAAAGTCATTACCATTGGGTCTTGTACCCAACTTTATCCAGAGCTATGGCCCTTTGTATATTTTTGACACCAAAGTTCGTCCATAGGTCAAGACCATGGATCGCTGTAGTTATTTTGCCTTTGTCTATGTATTGTGATATAATACAGGTAGGTTTGTTGCTTTCTCTAGCATTGTTTACACTTTTCATGAACTTAACTTGCTCTCACATATTCCTAAAGTCAAAATATCCTGTGAAAAATTAGTGCCAGTATTTTTTTTAAATAAGATAAGACAGCATATTTGATACAGTTGCTGATATGCATAAGTAAATTCAATACAGAAAAATCTACTAACCATTTAGTAATAACAGTTATGTTTTTGTTGTTGTCAGGGCCCGACGAGGAGGACATTGAAGTAGACGTCACCACAATAGAACCCATACAGGCGTTTGTTAGCAGGTGAGTGAGCCTTCCCTCTATAGAACCAATACAGGCGTTTGTTAGCAGGTGAGTGAGCCTTCCCTCTAAAGAACCCATACAGGTGTTTGTTAGCAGGTGAGTGAGCCTTCCCACTATAGAACCAATACAGGCGTTTGTTAGCAGGTGAGTGAACCTTCCCAATATAGAACCCATACAGGCGTTTGTTAGCAGGTAAGTGAGCCTTCCCACAATAGAACCCATACAGGTGATTGTTAGCAGGTGAGTGAGCCTTCCCACTATAGAACCCATACAGGTGTTTGTTAGCAGGTGAGTGAGCCTTCCCACTATAGAACCAATACAGGCGTTTGTTAGCAGGTGAGTGAGCCTTCCCACAATAGAACCGATACAGGTAAGCTGGCTCAGAATGGCCACATAATGAATGATTCATTTGTAGACCTACATAAGTTATGACATTTTAAAAACAAAACAGGTACCGTAAAAACCCATGTAATTGCGCGTTTTTTTCCCAGAAATTTAATACCCAAAGTAGGGGGTGCGTAAAATACACAATTAGTAGAGCTATTGTTAACGGGTAATCACAGATATAGTGTTAGCTAATTACTGCATTGTAATTTGTATTGACTGTAGTGTTGAGAAGTGTCAATAATTTACGCTGAAGCATGCGATCCTACCTGGCCTATTGTCCGGGACCAGACGATATCGGTGAAATCATGCCCTCCGGTTTACTTACCTGTAAATGTCGCAAAACCAGTAGTCATGACCACAGATGACCGATTTTAATAATTTTACAGTAGGTAAAAATTGTGTGGCCAAAAAATATCGCCAAACCACTGACTTAGATAATCTAATCTGATGAGCCCTTCTCACTGATCGTAATTATGATCAATAAAAGGTATCTAATTATGTCTCTCACCAGGAGATATGCACCAGCGGTTACTAAACATCGTATTACTTATTAATTGATATGTTTTTGTAAGCAAGTAAATGTTTTATGTAAAATATTGCTAAAATGAATTGATGTATGCCGATATGCGCACACTTGTGTGTCATGTGTGATCAGATAATTCAAAGAAAACAAACAACAAAATACACATTTTACGTAGTTTCTTCTTGGTTTTTAATATCATTTTACATCAATGGAAAAAAAATCATAAGAAATATATTTAAAAAAATAATAATTCAGAGATCGATTTGCGGAGCATGAACATCGTTTTTTTTTCCAGATTTTTTGGGTGCGCAAAATATTCGAGTAGAAGCTTTTTTCACGATTTTCAGCCTCAAAAAGTACCTGCGCAAATTACACAGGTGCGCAAATTACATGGGTTTTTACGGTAATCTGTTTGCTACTCCCTTTTATGGATTGGTGGTTTGGTTTGTACGACTTATGGTCAATTCTATAAAATGGGAAAAGGGATCCCCCCCCCCCCATTTGTGGCTGTAATTCATGTCACAAAGAAAACATGGTTACCCAGTTTTGGTTCAGATAAGCACACCGGGTTATCGGAATGGCATTATTTCTAACTGTTGCAGCCCTGGTATGAAGTTGGTACAAACCTCTCAGTTTTCATGTCTGTATTAGTTAGAATTAACCTAATTTCATCAATTATTTTCACATGAATTTCCAACACTGAGAATTCCCTGTGTATGATTTTTCTGTGTTGTATGAATTAGAAATGATCCTATTTCTCTGTTACAGTGACGAGGAAGATGAGGATACAGAAGCTTTACTGTTCCTGCCCGTATCACCAGAACTGGACGAGCCCGAAGCTCTCGGAGAGGGGGTATATATACAGTGAAATTTTCTTATTCTTAAAACTTCCCAGAACCCTTATGTCTGGAAGCAAAATATTTTGAAGGAAAGTTCTGGACATTTATTAATTCAAGCTATAATCCGTAGACTTAAGCACCAATTCTGATAGCATTCTGGTGGTGGTATCTTAACCAGGAGATTTCTCTGGTAATAATAGTTAGCTTGCCTTAACAATTGTTTGTTTATGAATTAAACAAGATATCAGCTTTGTCAAAATAGTACTATAAACACGTTCTCAGCAAAAACAGAAAAGGAAAATGAGTACAGGTTATCATAGTTTTAAAAGAATTTTTTTTATGTAACATATTAATATTCATGAATCAAAAACTGACATATTACTTGAACAAATTACAACTCTAAAAATTCAAGATGGCGCCTGTAGGTTTTTTTCCAACCAGTCCCAACATTTGATATGCATAACTAGGGACCATGAGGAACCTTCCTGTGAAGTTTGACAAAGATCCCTCCAGCACTTGCTGAGAAATAGCGCTGACAAGAAATGTTTAAGGACAGACGGACCACAGACGAAGGGCAACTTTAATAGCCATCTGATGATGGTGGGCTTACAAGGATAAAACTACTGCAGTACTCATAGTAATGTCAGGATTGTACTTCAGGTGTTGAACAATTCCTACCCTGTATACTGTTGTGACAGGTGAATTAACTGTTCAGGTACCATGTCCCTTATAGTGGCCCTTTCAACACAAGGTCTGCTTTGAATCATCATTCGACAAACACATGATTTGATTCCTGTTTGATTCCCGTTTGATTCCAGGTCCTGGATGAACCTCCACCTCTGGAGAAGAAGCGCCCCACTCCAACTTCAGATCACACACCGTCACCAAAGAAAAAGAAAACTAAATCTGTAGACGTTGATCTACCTAATGCTCCCTCAGATGGTAAGTCTTCGTACAATGTAAGGGTAAATTAAGTTTCAATGTCATAGTCATGGTAACACTTGGGACAAGGTGAAGGTCAGTGTAAATATAGATCTAAGGTCAGTCAGTGGATAGCGCATTTGCCTTTCACCAAGAGCCAGGGTTAAAATTTCCTGGTCGCACATGAAAAGATGAGGAGTCTCCTGGTCGACCACATGGGTTTTCTCCAGGTACTCTGGTTTCCTCCCAAATTGAAGTCCCCTTAGCCCTAACATCTGGGTCAAAAAAAGTGATTAATATAAGTTGATATAAGTTATTTCATATTTGTTGTAACCTAAATAACCTTTATACTTAAGTAAAGAACATTCACTCCACTAGATAATATACTCTAGGTAAGGTAATTCTGGTTCTGTGATGCAGTATTCAGGGGATTGGTACTGTTGGGCTGTCAGAAATAAGACCAATAACAATGAGAACAAACTCGAGCAGACACACATGCTCATCCTCACACTGGGTAAATGAAGTAGATCGCATGATGATAATAATAATTATAATTTGAGGTTCTTATATACCGCTTTATCACAACCTAGTTCGTAGGTCATCTCAAAGCGGTTCACAAATTATTATTCATGGTTATAGGGCCTTTGCAACCAGCTTACATCTTTCTCAACTCCCTGGGGAGCAAACGGCCGGTGCTGCCATTTCAGGTCCACAGCTAGCATTCTACTATTCTAGCACTGCCTAATAGCATACTCATTTACAGCTGAGTAGATTGGAACAAGTGGAGTAAAGTATCTTGCTCAAAGATACAACACAGTGCTGTGCCACGACTCGAAACCACAACCCTTCGGTCACGAGCCTGGCGTCCTACCACTACACTACCCTGCCTCCTAAACAATAGTACCCTGTGCTTGAGTAAGGTAGTTCTGACACTTCACTCCTAATTGCTCAATATATACTGGTTAGCTTATTTCTTTTATGAAGCAAGTTTTTCCAGCTTACATAAAACAACTTTGTTGGCCCGGATGGTAGAGCACAGTGGGTCTTACAGAAACTACCTCAAGGTAAAGAAGGTGGACTTGTGCCTTTTCCACATTTGATAAGTAAATCAAACCCCAGCCATTTATCTGAAGGCCTGTGTGCTGTCCACTGTGTCACCTAACCGATATTAATTGTATTAAAGACATATTTCTGTTATCCCTTGAATATTAAGTATAGCAAGAGCTGTAGACAGGACAGTGTTGTACAAATGTTTTATGATATACAGTTATTAATTTAAAATTTCTTTTGTTCTTGCTGGTCCATTGTAATCTAGAATTTTCCTCTTTCAGAAATACATCCCTTGCTGAATGTCAAAAAGCCAAATGAAAAGAACGCAGGAAAGAAATCTCGTCCTAAGCAGAGACCCCCTAAAGAAAAGTCGAAACACAAGGAAAAGTTAAAGGACGATTTTGTAAGTAAAAAAAAGTGTTGTTAATCTTCTTTTTAAAATAAACACATTAGCACAACTAAATTGAGAAAATATTTGCAAAACTTTGGAATCAATAAGTTTTGTTATTACCAGAATCTTTAATTTTGGAAGAGTAGTTTTCTATGAAAATTAAAATTAAAACTTTACTAGATAAATATATCACATAATAGGGTTCTCTGAATTCCAAAAAATATTTTTTCCCTTTGCCTGTGTAATCCATATTCGACCAGGTTTAATGTAAGTTCCAATGGTCACTGTGATAATAAATTCACACTCATTCCAGAGAGCGAAAAAGACAAAAATTAAACTGCAGTAAAACTTGTCCTGATCTACAGTATATCTAGATTGTTAGTCTTTTACAGATATGTCATACCAAAGACTTTCTCATGGTTTTTGACTGTAACTGATATTTCGGTGCTTTTCCTTTGAGTGCTCATTGTTATGTTAGTTCCCCACCATTACTCATGGTGAGAAGACCATTTTTGTACTCCATCTGGCAGTCAGTCCAGGGCCGGTATTCATGAAACCGTTCTCATGCTCAAGCATGGATTCTGTGCATAAACCAACATTCTTGTAACTCACTTAAATCATGTCAAACGATCAAAAAGTTGAATGAAAACATTCAAAACAGTATTCAGATTAAGTCTCTTCACTTTATTTTCAAAACCATTGACAAAATAAGATGTTATTATTCATTTATAACCAGAACAAGGAATTGGGCTTGAGCACAAAATCCATGCTTGAGCATGAGAACGATTTCTTGAATACGGGCCCAGGCGTCACTTTGTTTGGGAGTACTGTTAGCCAGTAAAGGTTTAGTCCTCTGCAATACTGGCAAATGTATCATGACAGCAAACATTAGTGTACAGCATTTCACACTGGCTGATTATAGAATTAAGCAACGAAGGGTGAGTATTTGACTGGAATAAGTTTCCCAGTATACAGGGTCTCTCATACTGTCACCTACAACTGCTGAGTTGTGTATGTCAGTACCTATTGGTGAAGGGTGGAGTGCAAAATAATGAAATAGGGTCTTGTGCCAAATTTATATATAGAGTTGTGGTTCTGTGTGTATCTATGTCTGGGGCATTTCTCGGATATTGTTACCTGAAATTACCAAATTTTGTATGGTATGGAATGATTGAGGTTGTATGCTGAAATCCGTGCATGTGACCCGATTTACAGAATCAATCCCCTCGGTTAATTTCAGATACTGAACTTCAGAATGTCAGGATGTGGGGAACAACGGTTTTCTCACACTAGAAGTATCGTCTTGGCACAATTATTTTATCTTCCTTTTAAAAACTTAAATAAAAAGATTGTTTAAAAGCCTCTTTCTGCAACATATTGTATCATTGTCACCATTGATCTTGTGTCTCTTTAGACTTGTTTTGGTTTATGTTTCAGTACTGAGTGTGAAGAGCAAAATTGTGCGAAGAGAATCTGTAGATACGCGGCAGCTGTCATAACATATCTGACGTGGATACAGCAGGCTGCTGTGACATATCTGACAGATACAGCAGGCAGCTGTAACTAATATGACACTGATACAGCAGGCTGCTGTTACATATCTGACAGATACAGCAGGCCGCAGTAACATATCCGACGCAGGATACAGCCGTCTGGTTCTGTAAACCTGTCAGAAGAGTTCTGGAGTATAGAATATCAAACCAATGTCAGACCTGTAAATAAAGACAGTCATACTAAACCAGTCGTCTCAAAGTGGATGGAAATATTTTCGCGATCCATATCAACTGACATTTTATGATGCATGTACTATTTAATATGAATCATGCTTAAGTGTCACGTCTGTGTAAATATTTCTAACAACATTCATGTTTATACCTGTACTGACGCTGATGTAAATATCTGTACATACAACTTATGTAACATACAAACCTAATAAATATTGTACAGAAAATGGTTTTTTTTATTCATTATGTCTTCCCTTGTATGAAAGAGGGTGGCATGTTCTATAAGTATCGTTTCCTCTAATAACATCATGTCTAGGGCCAGTAGTCATGAAACCTTTCTCATGCTCAAGAATGCATTCTGTGCTCAAATCAGCATTCTTGTAATTATATAACTTGCTAACCCCTTTCACCCCTATGTAACTTTAGTAGATTCTACCATGCATTGATCTGGATGAGTCCATTATGGTCTAGTGGTGAAAGGGTTAAATAATGTGACATAACCAAAAAGGTCAAGTCTGGATATTGAAAACAGTATTCAGACTTAGGTTTCTCTAAAATTCTTCAAAAGTATTACGAAAATGGGAATTTTCATTAATTGAGCAAAGAATTTGAGTTTGAACATGAGAACAGTTTCATGAATATAGAGTCCTGGCCTTTACTTTTAAACCATTGCAGATGTCTAGATGAAAATTGAATTAATATGTGTAGTTACATTCTCCACAACAGGTGTGTAATGCACCTTAAATTCTTGAAGATATCTTGATGAAATTTTAATACAGTACTTTGATCACCCAAAGGTGTGCAATGTAGTGAAACTTGCTCACTGACCTTCACTTCTTGATCCAAGAAAAATTGCCATAATTAGCTCACCTGCCCGAAGGGCGTGTAAACTTATGCCATGGAGCGTTGTTTGTCCGTCAAACAACTTTTTGTTTAAATGACTTCTCCTGAAGATCCGAAAGTCCTAGTCATTATATTTGGCCAGTAACATCCTGGGATGGAGCCCGACAAAGTTTGCGAATGAAAATCATGATATTTGTCCAGTAGCATCTTATGATGGAACCCAATGAAGTTTGGGAATGAAAATGACATTGACCTATACTTTCAAAGGCATATGTCTGTCATGCGACACCATCCTTATATGACATTAGCTGTTGCAAAAACAATCAACAAATGACAGCAAACAGAACCCTTCAACACATTTCTGAATATCTGAACGTGTCAAGTCCTGCCCTTATTCCCCACCAGAATCCTGTGTTTGAGTTCAACAACATTTGCACATGAATATGCCCTTGCCTTACGTATACTTTCAAGGTCACAGGGGTCAAATAACTGTAAATCTTCAACCGCTTCTGCATATCCATTCAACCTAACTTCACAATATTTGGCCAACAACTCCATGTAACAAAACAAACAGGTGAGCGATACAGGCCCTTCTGGGCCTCTTGTCTTTTGAACCATTGAAGATCTTTACGAAATCCTGCATAATCTCCTGCACTATAATATGAGGTTACAGTAGCCTTTACCAATATGTCAGAGGTCAAATATGTTCTCAGGTTTCAATGAAATCTTGCTCTGGCTGATAATTTTGGACCATTGAAGAATAATAAAATCTTTCACTCCTTGACGATGAGATAAGGGGTGGGGGTATCTCAACCAGAGGGGGAAGACTCCCCAAGTTGCCAACATGAGGCTACATTTAATTTTACCGCAAAATATTGTACCACCTTGTCAGACACCACTTTCTGTACTTCAGGTATAGGCTGGACGCTACTACCTCTATTTCAGGTATAGGCTGGGCACCACTTTCTGTACTTCAGGTATAGGCTGGGCATCACTTTCTCTACTTCAGGTATAGACTGGACACCACTTTCTCTAAATCAGGTATAGACTGGACACCACTTTCTCTACTTCAGGTATAGGCTGGCCACCACTTTCTGTTCTTCAGGTATAGGCTGGGCACCACTTCCTGTACTTCAGGTATAGGCTGGACACCACTTCCTGTACTTCAGGTATAGGCTGGCCACCACTTTCTGTACTTCAGGTATAGGCTGGACACCACTTCCTGTACTTCAGGTATAGGCTGGACACCACTTCCTGTACTTCATTTATGTCTTGAAATTGTACATTGTTCCGATGACGGCCCATGGAGGGAACTAAACCAGTAAACTGGTTAAAGTTGGCGAGACACCCCATGTTGCCTGGTCATCTCTTTTGAGTTTCAATTTCTCTCATGGCTGGACTAGCGAGATCCATTTAGGAATCAACTGATCGCGGTATGCTGAACATTGGTCTGGTTTGATTTTGTTTTAGTCCTATTAACAGCTAAGGTCCATTGAGTATGTGCCTCCATGTGTGTAGTGTAAGCCGGAGACAGGGTATGGTAGCAGACATTGAACCTCATTCTCCGTTATTTGTGAGAATTCATACCCATGTCATATCTATTTCCATAAACTTCAAACATTTTTCATGTATAAAAATAAAAACAAATTATGGCTATCAATTGAAAATATTTATTCGTTTATGATTAATAATAATAATATTCCATTAAGTTAAAACTTGAGGACAAACAACATCCTACAGTAACATCCCATCACCACCGATTGTATTCCGTCTTTGCGTATTGCAGAGTTATCTTCTCTTGGGAGCAGGTATTGATTGTTACGTCATTGGTTTGTGCGTCAAAATTACGTCGTTTTCTCAAAAATTGATGACGTTACTCTCACAAACAAGTGACGTAACAGTCAATACCTGCTCCCAAGATAAGATAACTCTGCAATACGCAAAGACGCAATAGCTGGTGATTCAGTAGTCTGGAGTGGTAGCATGATTTTACTTCACACACCATACTTTACCAGACGAAAATTTTCAATAAAAGTTGATATAAAAATTCATTTGAAGAGATGATGTACAAAAATCTTTCAATGGCTTATTATTCCAAGATGCATGACATTTTATTTAACAAGTCAAAAAGATATACAATGATATATTTTACATTCAAATGTTTTATTTGTGACTAGTTTTTCCCCAAAATGAACAAAAAATTGCATTGCTTAACATTTTTGGATTCAGAATTACCAGCATTATGTATTTGAGTACCAGGCTGTAACACGATGCTGTAATTTTAATAAGTTGAGATCACCTATAATGGAAATACCCATTTCTGGATTTTAAACAACATCAGAAAACAATAACATGATCAAACAAGGATATAATTACTTAATAACTCATTCACCCCCGAAGACACATCTGAACCCTTCCAATTCAAAGGGTGGAATAGTTCATTATGAAGTGTCAGGGGGTGAATGAGTTAACACAGAAATATACACCAATACATAGTTTGAGATATTATATTAAAATCTGACAATATGTGGCAGGAAGATCTCGAGAAATGTTTATCACTTGTCTTGACTGGCAATACAGACGTGGGGCCAGTTTATTTATGCGGAACAACAGGTTTGTTTGTTTTTGAATGTACCATTTTCAGGTATAAACCCTGGCAGACCTGCTAACGTTTATGCAGGCCTTGCAAGTCTTTGTCGTTTTTTCCCAATGTGAAACAGAAACATCAACCCTTAAATTTTTTTAAAGAAAAAGTGCTTGAAAAATACCAACCCTTTTTTTTGGTGAAGATGGTTTCTCCCTAGATCTGGGAGTAATGTGATCGACACAAAAAGTTTACAACAAGAACAAATATGAAAACAGTTCCCTCTCAGATTTGTAGCAAAACTTATACCTTAGCTCCAAACTTAAAGAGATAATAAATATATTCTACACACCTAGATGTGATTACATAGGTCAAGGTTCACCTTAGTATGGTATTCAAACTTTGCTTCGTTGCAGGATCTTGTACAACCTGTGAAATAAACACTGAATTGTTCTGTCATCATTTTTGATCAGTCTTTCTGATGTGTAACTGTCTGTGAATGAAAATGGATACGAAATTAAAAACGAAAGGAAATGAATTCATGACAGCATACTGACTATCAAAGACCAAATTTTTGATTTAATCTAATTTTAACAATAATGAAAAACTTATATTTTCCTAGAAAAGCATCAACCATGAATGAAATGACTTTGAATTACCGAGAATTTTATGTCCATATTTTAAAATAGGATAACAATTATCATCCCTTTCAATGAAAGGCATAAGGGAGAAAGGCAAGCTTATCATTGTAACTCAGTATAGACAGATTCGACTAATTCTTAATCTGATCACCAAGTACAGGTAAGTAATAACACACCAGGTGCTAGCTATTATTAAGCCAGACAGTATTTATTGACAAGTTGCAGCTATAAACAATGGCCATTAAGCTATCAAGCCAGTATTTAGTGATGTACATACAATAGCCGATTTATGTTCATTGAAACAAAACTGAAAACCTTATTGCTGAAAAGTTGTGCCGACTCTTGGGAAACAAAAAAAGTTTTGAAACCCGAGAACGTTTTTGATTTTAAATGAATCCCAGTGTTACCGGTAGTTATAGACATGTGATAACTATCGACAAGCTAGCTGTATACTGGTGGTTGGGTTTGATCAGGTAAACACTTACACATGTGTTATTGAAGCATAAAACCAATTGATACAGAGCCACATATATCTTCTAATGAACATATCTCTTACAGGAAAGTATTTCTTGTTTTCTGAAACGGCTAGATATCAAGAAAAGGAATCTACTGGAGAGATCCTGAACTACAGGTATAGTACATGGTATCATGACAAACATACAATCTGGTAAAACAACACATGGATTAAAATAGAACTTGAAAAATAAAATATAAATAGAAAACAAAATCAGTAATAGTTTTCTAGTAAAATTACAAACCAATTACAAAATTGATAATATTAAAAACAACATCAATCAGTAATAAATTAAGTTTACATTCAGCTACGTTGTTCAAAGTACTCCAATTTCAGTCTCTCAGCAGAGCTGTCAATATCCCTCTCAGCAGAGCTGTTCATATTTCTCCATCAGGATACTGTCCAAACCCTTGAAGGCGAGTTTGTGAAGCGGCTTGAAGTCCAATATTAAAATCACATAAGATTTATGATGCAGCTTAAAATTGTATTAAGCCCACTTGTCTAATAACATGAAGCTTTCTTGATGGATGACTGATGAAGCCATCATGAAATAAAGTGACGAGTTCATTTGCAGGATGAAAGATTCAAAGGTTGGAGCTCATTGGAAGCTTAACTGCTGAAGCCAACTTGAGGGTTTCCCAAAAGATGACGTTCACTTGAGAGGCGGGAACTCGTCTGACAGCAGTGTGTGGTCCCTACAGTTGGGGCAGGTGCTCTGCTCCTTCAGCCACTTACGAATACACTGTAATAGAGTAAACACAGTCAGCTTGTCACAGTTCGTTAGCGATGAAAATTTTATATCCCAATGATTATCTCTATGTCATATCAGCTCGTGATTGAGAGCAATTTTTTGGGGTAATACATGTACTTGAAAATTATCTTCTTATTATTTCTACGATTTAAGTTAACCAACAGTGTTTCATTATTTAGAACTTAGTTACAGGTTAAATGAAACATATGTAACTGCCTGGTTTACTTTCAAACTTTTACAGTTTACTATACAGTATATTCCATACCACATTATGTTTTTGGTTTTTTTAATTTGTTCGGTCAAAAATGCTCTAATATGCCCGAGATTCAGTAAGATTTCTAGGGATGTGTATTTTCTTTTTAGAGAGATGATAATGAATATAAACATTTTGTTGGAACACACAGCAGTTGTCTTTTTTTGCAGAAATAAGAAATCCTGGTGAGCACGTCATTCAGAAAAACCATAATGAATTAAACTATTATATACGTTTACTGTCCTTGATGTGGGGAAACACGATTTGCTGTTTCTCTAGATAAATCTGTTTCAACTTTGCCCATGTGAAACATAATTTATCTTGGAGAAACGTAGAACTGTGTTGAGGTGGTTCTTGCCAATTCTTCAAGAGAGGCTCAGAATGAGGGAAATTATACGCCAGGAAACCTCAAAAACATGAGGGCAACACAATGTTCTTAATGTCCTTTAATGAGATCAATAAAATCTAATCAGACACGCTGTATATAGATGAGGGGTAATATTATGTGTTACTAAAAACTTATAATATGTCTGTACTACATCTGGCAATATTTGTGGGTAATCTGACACAATGAAGCTATGTTGGGAGTGTAGGGTGGGCACATACCTTGTAACAGCTGGCAATATTACTGGGTATCTGACACAATGAACCTATGTTGGGAGTGTAGGGTGGACACATTCCTTGTAACATCTGGCAATATTACTGGGTATCTGACACACTGAAGCTATGTTAGGAGTGTACTGGGTATCTGACACTGAAGCTATGTTGGGAGTGTAGGGTGGACACATACCTTGTAACATCTGGCAATATTACTGGGTGTCTGGCACAATGAAGCTATGTTGAGAGTGTAGGGTGGACAAATACCTTGTAACATCTGGCAATATTACTGGGTATATGGCACAATGAAGCTATGTTGGGAGTGTAGGGGGGGCACATGCCTTGTAACATCTGGCAATATTAGTGGTGTATCTGACACAATGAAGCTTTGTTGGGAGGGTAGGGCGGGCACATACCTTGTAACATCTGGCAATATTAGTGGTTTATCTGACACAATGAAGCTTTGTTGGGAGTGTAGGGTGGGCACATACCTTGTAACATCTGGCAATATTAGTGGGCAATCTGACACAATGAAGCTATGTTGGGAGTGCCGGGTGGGCACATACCTTGTAACATCTGGTAATATTACTGGGTATCTGACACAATGAAGCTATGTTGGGAGTGTAGGGTGGGGACATACCTTGTAACATCTGGCAATATTAGTGGTGTATCTGACACAATGAAGCTTTGTTGGGAGTGTAGGGGGGGCACATACCTTGAAACATCTGGCAATATTAGTGGTTTATCTGACACACTGAAGCTATGTTGGGAGTGTACTGGGTAACTAATGAAGCTATGTTGGGAGTGTAGGGTGGACACATTCCTTGTAACATCTGGCAATATTACTGGGTATCTGGCACAATGAAGCTATGCTGGGAGTGTAGGGTGGGCACATACCTTGTAACATCTAGCAATATTACTGGGTATCTGACACACTGAAGCTATGTTGGGAGTGTACTGGGTATCTGACACACTGAAGCTATGTTTGGAGTGTAGGGTGGACACATACCTTGTAACATCAGGCAATATTACGGGGTATCTGACACAATGAAGCTATGTTGGGAGTGTAGGGGGGGCACATACCTTGTAACATCTGGCAATATTACTCGGTATCTGGCACAATGAAGCTATGTTGGGAGTGTAGGGGGTGCACATACCTTGTAACATCTGACAATATTAGTGGGTAATCTGACACACTGAAGCTATGTTGGGAGGGTACTGGGTATCTGACACACTGAAGCTATGTTTGGAGTGTAGGGTGGACACATACCTTGTAACATCTGGCAATGTTACTGGGTATCTGACACAATGAAGCTATGTTGGGAGCGTAGGGTGGGCACATACCTTGTAACATCTGGCAATATTAGTGGGTAATCTGACACAATGAAGCTATGTTGGGAGTGTAGGGTGGACACATACCTTGTAACATCTGGCAATATTAGTGGGTAATCTGACACAATGAAGCTATGTTGGGAGTGTAGGGTGGGCTCATACCTTGAAACATCTGGCAATATTAGTGGTTTATCTGACACAATGAAGCTTTGTTGGGAGTGTAGGGTGGGCACATACCTTGTAACATCTGGTAATATTAGTGGGTAATCTGACACAATGAAGCTATGTTGGGAGTGTAGGGGGGGCACATACCTTGTAACATCTGACAATATTAGTGGGTAATCTGACACACTGAAGCTATGTTGGGAGCTATGCTGGGAGTGTAGGGTGGGCACATACCTTGTAACATGTGGCAATATTACTGGGTATCTGGCACAATGAAGCTATGTTGGTAGTGTAGGGTGGACACATACCTTGTAACATCTGGCAATATTAGTGGGTAATCTGACACAATGAAGCTATGTTGGGAGCGTAGGGTGGACACATACCTTGTAACATCTGGCAATATTAGTGGGTAATCTGACACAATGAAGCTATGTTGGGAGTGTAGGGTGGGGACATACCTTGTAACATCTGGCAATATTACTGGGTATCTAACACACTGAAGCTATGTTGGGAGTGTAGGGTGGGCACATTCCTTGTAACATCTGGCAATATTACTGGGTATCTAACACACTGAAGCTATGTTGGGAGTGTAGGGTGGACACAAACCTTGTATCTGGCACAATGAAGCTATGCTGGGAGTGTAGTGTGGGCACATACCTTGTAACATCTAGCAATATTAGTGGGTATCTGACACACTGAAGCTATGTTGGGAGTGTAGGGTGGGCACATACCTTGTAACATCATGCAATATTACTGGGTATCTGGCACAATGAAGCTATGCTGGGAGTGTAGGGTGGGCACATACCTTGTAACATCATGCAATATTACTGGGTATCTGGCAAAACGAAGCTATGTTGGGAGTGTAGGGTGGGCACATTCCTTGTAACATCTGGCAATATTACTGGGTATCTAACACACTGAAGCTATGTTGGGAGTGTAGGGTGGGCACATACCTTGTAACATCTGGTAATATTAGTGGGTAATCTGACACAATGAAGCTATGTTGGGAGTGTAGGGGGGGCACATACCTTGTAACATCTGACAATATTAGTGGGTAATCTGACACACTGAAGCTATGTTGGGAGTGTACTGGGTATCTGACACACTGAAGCTATGTTTGGAGTGTAGGGTGGGCACATACCTTGTAACATCTGGCAATATTAGTGGTTTATCTGACACACTGAAGCTATGTTGGGAGTGTACTGGGTATCTGACACACTGAAGCTATGTTGGGAGTGTACTGGGTAACTGATACACTGAAGCTATGCTGGGAGTGTACTGGGTAACTGATACACTGAAGCTATGTTGGGAGTGTAGGGTGGACACATACCTTGTCATGGAACCTGTGACTACAGTCCAGGGTGCGTGTGGTCATCGGAGTCATTTCCTCATAGCAAATCACACAGGGGTCCTCATCTTCCTCGAACACCTCACCTGTACCGTCAGAGGCTGAGAATGCCCAATTGGTCGCTAGGCCCGGTGGTGGGGCAATAGGCTTTGGGGCTGTAGGCCTCTGAGCTAAAGATGTCTATAAATAAAAGGAGAAAAACTTTTTTTGGGGACAACATGCAAAGTGAACTAATTCTCTTTAGTACTTTTTCCTACCTAAGATTAACAAAACACTTCACTTAATGATAATTGGTGCTTCTGATAACGTCTTGTACAATACGGCTAAATAACCCAATGCTATACATATATAGATAAGTTTTTAAACGATGGAATGAACCCATATTGAGTATATCTATGGATTGTCGCTGTCGAGACTTTAAACCAATGAATGAACCATTATTGTATAAGAAAGCACATCCATACCTGTGAGGGCTGTTGTTTTCTCTGTTCGTGAGTATGAATAAGCTCTACAATCTGGTTTACAATCTGGTCCATGGTCGCCCCCGACAGAGAACCGCCTTTGGCCTGTCTCAGCTCCTGGATCAGTCGCACAAACACCGGCCTAGAAAATGTACAAGGAACAGTGAAAGCTTCAGAACATCAGAGTTTGTATCTAGTCTTGGTGAATGGCTGTGTGTGATAGGTACTTCCTGTTGTTGCTGAGGAGAAGATTACTATAATCTTCCCCTACCTTAAGGGTGTGACAGAGAAATCTCCTACCCAAGGGGTGATCTTTTTGGTTGTCTTACCTGAGGCTCTGCCGAGGGTTAGACAACCAACAAAAATCACCCAGAGGGTTGGAGATTTCTATGTTATAATCAAGGTAGGGGTTGATTATTTTTCTCATCCTATTATTTCAGTCACAACTCCAGCAACAATAATCTACCAAGTTTGTAAACAAAAACACATGTGGGGTATGAATATCGTCATTCACTTTTGATGACGTCACAATTACCGGCGACGCATTTTAATGACGTCACAATTGAACGCGTGCTAATCGACACAAGGCTATCGCGGGGTGACAAGCTGATCTTTCCCGGCTAAAACGGGAGACACAGCTGTGAAGGGTGGGAGAAAAATCTGTCTCCATATACCTAGAGAAATCTTGCACATACCTTCATTCTGAAAGCATCACATCAAAATACATGTATAGCTGTTTCAATTGTGTAGGGCTAATATTTTGAGGTTATCCCAATCAGAACTAGTGTGCAGGTTCACATTTCAGCCAACATTGCCAGGGGAAAGTATCGCAGTTACAATGGTACTTTGGGTAATAGGATATCTTTTTCAAGTGTTTCATCAAAATCAATATTGAATTGTTTTATCTTCATTTTTTGGCAGTAAACACCTATTACAGAATTTGTCTTCATCTCATTACATTTGTATATATATATTCATAGGGATTATTGTTCATGGTATTAATATTTGCTGGTTATTTAATTTTGAGCTGTTAATGCTAATATTACCAATTTATACAGGACATATATGTGAATTAAATGTCGCTTGTGCAGTTCTAAAACTTTATCCCAAACAGGCCAGGTAGCTTCACATTTAAACATATTTCATGAACAAATAATGTTTAAACAGGGGAAAAGCATGGGTGAAAATAATCACTCCTGTGTGATATTACGAGGAAATCTCACCCTAAAACCAAGTATTTAGAATATTCTTTTTCAATCAATTTGTGTGGTACCTTTATGCAATATTTGGCGCAGTATTTCACTTTACTTGTGTACAAGAAATATTACACCATCATCCTGTTGTGTAATTGTGAATTTGATATCAGATTGTTTTACATTTATGTATATACCTATTTTTACATTTATGTATATACCCAGTTTTACATCTATGTATATACCCAGTTTTACATTTATGTATGCACCCAGTTTTACATTTATGTATATACCCAATTTTACATTTATGTATATACCTAGTTTTACATCTATGTATACACCCAGTTTTACATTTATGTATATACCTAGGTTTACATTTATGTATACACCCAGTTTTACACTTATGTATATACCTAGTTTTACATTTATGTATACACCTAGTTTTACATTTATGTATATACCCAGTTTTACTTTTATGTATACACCCAGTTTTACATTTATATGTCGCTTGTGCAGTTCTAAAACTTTATCCCAAACAGGCCAGGTAGCTTCACATTTAAACATATTTCATGAACAAATAATGTTTAAACAGGGGAAAAGCATGGGTGAAAATAATGACTCCTGTGTGATATTACGAGGAAATCTCACCCTAAAACCAAGTATTTAGAATATTCTTTTTCAATCAATTTGTGTGGTACCTTTATGCAATATTTGGCGCAGTATTTCACTTTACTTGTGTACAAGAAATATTACACCATCATCGTGTTGTGTAATTGTGAATTTGATATCAGATTGTTTTACATTTATGTATACACCCAGTTTTACAATTATGTATATACCCAGTTTTACATTTATGTATACACCCAGTTTTAGATTTATGTATATACCTAGTTTTATATTTATGTATATACCCAGTTTTACATTTATGTATATACCCAATTTTACATTTATGTATACACCGAGTTTTACATTTATGTATATACCCAGTTTTACTTTTATGTATACACCCAGTTTTACATTTATGTATATACCTAGTTTTACATCTATGTATACACCCAGTTTTACATTTATGTATATACCTAGTTTTACATCTATGTATACACCCAGTTTTACATTTATGTATACACCTAGTTTTACATTTATGTATACACCCATTTTTACATTTATGTATACACCCAGTTTTACATTTATATGTCGCTTGTGCAGTTCTAAAACTTTATCCCAAACAGGCCAGGTAGCTTCACATTTAAACATATTTCATGCACAAATAATGTTTAAACAGGGGAAAAACATGGGTGAAAATAATCACTCCTGTGTGATATTACGAGGAAATCTCACCCTAAAACCAAGTATTTAGAATATTCTTTTTCAATCAATTTGTGTGGTACCTTTATGCAATATTTGGCGCAGTATTTCACTTTACTTGTGTACAAGAAATATTACACCATCATCGTGTTGTGTAATTGTGAATTTGATATCAGATTGTTTTACATTTATGTATATACCTATTTTTACATTTATGTATATACCCAGTTTTACATCTATGTATATACCCAGTTTTACATTTATGTATATACCTAGGTTTACATTTATGTATACACCCAGTTTTACAATTATGTATATACCCAGTTTTACATTTATGTATATACCTAGGTTTACATTTATGTATACACCCAGTTTTACAATTATGTATATACCCAGTTTTACATTTATGTATATACCCAGTTTTTCATTTATGTATACACCCAGTTTTACATTTATGTATATACCCAATTTTACATTTATGTATATACCTAGTTTTACATCTATGTATACACCCAGTTTTACATTTATGTATACCCCCCGTTTTACATTTATGTATACACCCATTTTTACATTTATGTATACACCCAGTTTTACATTTATGTATACCCCCAGTTTTACATTTATGTATACACCCATTTTTACATTTATGTATGTACCTAGTTTTACATTTATGTATACACCCATTTTTACATTTATGTATATACCTAGTTTTACATCTATGTATACACCCAGTTTTACATTTATGTATATACCTAGTTTTACATCTATGTATACACCCAGTTTTACATTTATGTATACCCCCAGTTTTACATTTATGTATACACCCAGTTTTCCATTTATGTATACACCCAGTTTTACATTTATGTATATACCTAGGTTTACATTTATGTATACACCCAGTTTTACACTTATGTATATACCTAGTTTTACATTTATGTATACTCCCATTTTTACATTTATGTATATACCCAGTTTTACTTTTATGTATACACCCAGTTTTACATTTATATGTCGCTTGTGCAGTTCTAAAACTTTATCCCAAACAGGCCAGGTAGCTTCACATTTAAACATCTTTCATGTACAAATAATGTTTAAACAGGGGAAAAGCATGGGTGAAAATAATCACTCCTGTGTGATATTACGAGGAAACCTCACCCTAAAACCAAGTATTTAGAATATTCTTTTTCAATCAATTTGTGTGGTACCTTTATGCAATATTTGGCGCAGTATTTCACTTTACTTGTGTACAAGAAATATTACACCATCATCGTGTTGTGTAATTGTGAATTTGATATCAGATTGTTTTACATTTATGTATACACCCAGTTTTAGATTTATGTATATACCTAGTTTTATATTTATGTATATACCCAGTTTTACATTTATGTATATACCCAATTTTACATTTATGTATACACCCAGTTTTACATTTATGTATAACTAAGCAAGACGCAAGCCACAGGCAACTCTGAACATTGAAATTTTCAATTCACAACTCTTGAGCACTAAATTCTCTTCCGAGTCACAACTTTCTATGCTAAAAGGTCTGAGCAAGAACTATTTCAGCACTAGCTTACCTGTTATACTTAGGGACAGTCACTTGTAGTTTAGCTAGCAGTTTCTCAAAGCTGTTCTGCTTCGGCTGGCCCATAGGAAGTCCCGGTCTAAGTGTGGGACGTACCCCAGCTGTCAGTGGTGGGCGTGGGCCTAATGGACGCGGAGGGAGGAACCCTAGTGTCCTTGTGGGCGGTGCCAGCGGACGTGGCTGGGGACCGCTGGGAGGAGCAAGGGGCTTTGGTGGCATTAGTTTCTCAGCAGCTTTGACCCTGCCAGCAGTCTGTTCCATATTGATGTCGTGAACTGATGGCATTGTGAACGGCGACAGGCTGTCTCCTTCAGGCGAGTTATCTCCCCCTGCCTTTGTGCCTGTTAAGGACAGTGGCGAGCCTGGTGTTCCTCCTACCTGTTGATTACAACCACAAACATTATGAATTATGTGCAAAAAATGTTTCCAATATTTCTCTCTCGAATGTTACATTAATATTCATCCCCCACTTTGACACAGCAACAGTAATATCTCAAGCCGAAGGGTAAGATTCTTCACTGTCCAGCCTGTTGTGGAGAGTAAGAAATATCTTACTCTCATGATCAGATTTTTTGTATCGTTCCCAAAGAAGAAAAAATTACTTTTCTTCTATTCCTGTAAAAAAAATATTGTTCCTAAAGTGCAAATAATGCTTTCTATGCTAAAAACCATGCTGCAATATGTCCCCGATCATTCACGTCAAAAGAATGAAGCTTGTATACATTTGCTAATGCTACGTCACAGTTTCATTGTTGTCCAGACCTAATTTGCTGTTTAAAGAACTGTTTGAAATAACTAAATTAAGTGTAACTACTCTATCAAATTGTGAATTTATATAATGAATGTTTTAGCAAATATTGTAATGGTCCTATAAAACACTTTTCTTTTGCTGAGAAACTTACATATAAAGCCCAGTTAGGCTTTATTAAGTTTGTCATCAATAGCAATGTGTGTTATAGGACCATAACAATATTTGCTAAAACATCATCCTGTCTTACCATTAGCTGGGAATGTTGTAGAACGGGTGGAGCTGGAGGCGGAGGAGGGATATGGATCTCTGGTAACTCTGACAGACACCTCCCACTCTTTATCTGCTGTATCTGGTCTTCAAATTCACGCTACAATACAAAACATCACCCTGTTAAACAGTCATACCATATAAAACCTATATATGATGACATTCTTATTGTAAAATCTTCAATAAAGGTAAGAAAGAGCATGTCATTGACAATCTACATTGTATCTTTGATCCTGTACAGCAGTCTTGAAAGATCGTTTACCGTTAGTCTGCGAGATATTTTACCGTTAGTCTGCGAGATATTTTACCGTTAGTCTGTGAGATATTTTACCATTTGTCTGCGAGATATTTTACCGTTAGTCTGAGATATTTTACCGTTAGTCTGTGAGATATTTTACCGTTAGTCTGTGAGATAATTACCGTTAGTCTGTGAAATGATTACCGTAAGTCTGTGAGATATTTTACCGTTAGTCTGTGAGATATTTTACCGTTAGTCTGTGAGATAATTACCATAAGTCTGTGAGATATTTTACAGTCAGTCTGTGAGATATATTGCTGTTAGTCTGTGAGAGAACTTAGTCGGTCCGTGAGATAATTTACCGTTAGTCTGTGAGATATTTTACCGTTAGTCTGCGAGATATTTTACCGTTAGTCTGTGAGATATTTTACCATTAGTCTGAGAGAACTTACCATTAGTCTGAGAGAACTTACCGTTAGTCTGTGAGATATTTTACCGTTTGTCTGCGAGATATTTTACCGTTAGTCTGAGATATTTTACCGTTAGTCTGTGAGATAATTACCATAAGTCTGTGAGATATTTTACAGTCAGTCTGTGAGATATATTGCTGTTAGTCTGTGAGAGAACTTAGTCGGTCCGTGAGATAATTTTCCGTTAGTCTGTGAGATATTTTACCGTTTGTCTGCGAGATATTTTACCGTTAGTCTGTGAGATATTTTACCATTAGTCTGAGAGAACTTACCGTTAGTCTGATGATGGTATCTTCACACTTTGGTGTGATCACCTTGTAATGGTCCATCACCTGCTGAAAGTGTGTTGGGACTGTCTGGTTTTGCTCCAACATTCTTTGAAATAATAAACGTACAAAGCAATGATTTTTTTTTTCTATCTGAGTAAACTGATCACAAATCGTTTTTTTTAATTTCTTGCTTACCAAACTTCATTTGACCTTTATAAATAAGTGAAGAAAATGGAATTTTTTGGCAAAAAGGCTGAAAATTAAAATATCAAGGTTTGCACTACACTAATTTTCTACTAATATCAACTAAAAGGCAGACATTTTCATCTCTGATAAAGAAAACAATGCTTCTAACCTTTATGATCTATGTCTATTTCACATGAACATAGGGGACAGGGGGGCACTTATTACAAATAATAATAGATGCATAGCATGGCTTAAAGTAATTTCTAATATTTGAAGAGAAGTACCCAGGAAAAGAAACTGTGGTGTTGGGTTTGTAAAAAGTACCCTGTCTAAATCAACCAATTTACTTATTTCTGTAAAAAACCCTTTCATTTGCAAAATAAATTTTATGTGCAAAGTAATTTGATCTCAAATAGATGTCTATAAATATTAAAATGTATCCACTTTTTACAATTATAGATAATAATATACGTTTGTATAATGCCCTATATGATTAGCAAAATTACTCCAAGGCACTTTACAGCACATGAATTCTTACAGTGACATTTATAAATATAGTAGATAGGCATACAGATCAGCATTTTACATCAGGTAACAAGACATTGATCAATATCATATAAATATATAGATATATAGGGTGGTATGTACATGACGTCTACATTAAAGAGCCTATAATGCAGACCTCAAAAGGCGGGTCTTTAGATCCACTTACTTCTGCATCATTGAACCGAGCCGCCGTTGATGGAAAACTGCTTCCTTCTGACTACGTTCTAACATCGACAATGTAAACTGTTTTCTCAGCTTCAGTACCTCAACCTGTAAACAGTCAATGATTCAAACATCTAAATAAATCGTAAAACTTGTTTTCTCTGGTGCTAAGTTTGTGTTGTGTTTATGATATTTTAACGGGAGGGTGGGGGTGGATGGGACCCGTTTTTGTTGTGTTTATGATGATTTAACAGGAGGGTGGGGGTGGATGGGACCTGGTTTTAAACTTACCATAGACTGAATGTAATATACATGATGTAGTGTAATATTTTACCTGCTCATATATATTTTATACCTAGAAATGTATGAAACAAACTATAGACAGGAAACTCATCATCACCACAGTGAACATACCACAGTATAGTACAATTTGCTACACATAGTGCTTTCTATTTCTAATGGGATGGGGAACTGACACGAGTTGGATAGATTTGATCAACAAATCTTTCACTGATATATTGTATGATAAGGGGAACAAAGGGCGGGTTCTTGATTACAGATTCTTGATTAATCCTCTTCAAGATACATTAGAGCTGTTCACAAAAATATGAATTTGAACACTACACTTTCTCAATGGAATACAGGTTCTGCTGAGACTGACCTCTGCACTGGTGGCGCGATCAACATCATGATCATGTGATTTCTTTAACTGTCCAACACTCGCCATAGCTTCGTCCTTCTCTGCTGATATCCTCAAAATCTTGTCTCTGTCACAGAGAGAAAACCAATTATCAAATAACATCTCACAAAATCTTGTCTCTGTCACAGAGAGGAAACCAATTATCAAATAACATCTCATTTGAGTCAGTGTAACAGAAAATAAACTGTGTGTTAAATATATTAAACCTGTTATCATCCAAAGAGACCCCTACCCTTTTCTGTTCCTTATAAGTCCTGTTATCGTCCAAAGAGACCCCTACCCTTTTCTGTTCCTTATAAGTCCTGTTATCGTCCAAAGAGACCCCTACCCTTTTCTGTTCCTTATAAGTCCTGTTATCGTCCAAAGAGACCCCTACCCTCTTCTGTTCCTTATAAGTCCTGTTATCGTCCAAAGAACCCCCTACCCTTTTCTGTTCCTTATAAGTCCTGTTATCGTCCAAAGAGACCCCTACCCTTTTCTGCTCCTTATAAGTCCTGTTATTGTCCAAAGAGACCCCTACCCATTTCTGTCCCTTTAAATCTTGTTATCGTCCAAAGAGACTCCTACCCTTTTCTGTTCCTTCTAAGTCCTGTTATCGTCCAAAGAGACCCCTACCCATTTCTGTCCCTTTAAATCTTGTTATCGTCCAAAGAGACCCCTACCCTTTTCTGTTCCTTATAAGTTCTGTGTCCTTTCTTATGTTACAAGAGTGACAGTCCTATGTTTAAAATAACATGTCTATCTCATGTAAATGTTTACAAAAAATTGATTTTAAGTGACATTTTTAGCATTAAACTAAGAAGCCTGTTGGGCCATACACCCATACCATGTTAAGAAAGTTACCTACTCCAACAATGTTACAGGTTTTACACGGCGAAAAACTTTTTGACAGGCGCGGCGTAACCTCTAACTGCCCATAGCTGATTTTTCCAATGCTGACGATCAAATTCGGATTTAGAAAAAGTATAATGTGTTTTCATACATTTAAATGTTCAGCTGGGTCCAATAAATGTTCTTTTCCATAAATCCATGATTAAATGAGAAGATTTTGGTGTCAAAGACATAAAAAAATAGTTTTTCCTCTTTCAAAGTGAAGCAGACAACATTTGCCATGATTTTCCGGTGAATACAAAAATGGAATACATGTGATGTTTAACAAGCGGAATACAAACAAACTCCATATCGTTTCATTCCGTTTGAAATTCCCCCTGCTATTTTGTACTAACCCAGGAAGTCATGTTTTAGAAGTAGGTCAGATAATGCTACAACGACATGGACAATTCACCTACAAATAGTTTGTTGTAGCTATAGACAGAAAATATTTTGAGATGGTCACTAGCTATGAATTAATATTGCTCATGTGCACATCAGCCATCTTTCAGTGCATTCTAACTTTGCTTAGGAAACAGTTTTGGTTTCAGTCCTAGAGCAGATGACACTTGCTATGTTTTTTAATGCCTCAGATGACACTTGCTATGTTTTTTAATGCCTGACATGACACTTGCTATGTTTTTTAATGCCTGACATGACACTTGCTATGTTTTTTAATGCCTGACATGACACTTGCTATGTTTTTTAATGCCTGACATGACACTTGCTATGTTTTTTAATGCCTGACATGACACTTGCTATGTTTTTTAATGCCTGACATGACACTTGCTATGTTTTTTAATGCCTGACATGACACTTGCTATGTTTTTTAATGCCTGACATGACACTTGCTATGTTTTTTAATGCCTGACATGACACTTGCTATGTTTTTTAATGCCTGACATGACACTTGCTATGTTTTTTAATGCCTGACATGACACTTGCTATGTTTTTTAATGCCTGACATGACACTTGCTATGTTTTTTAATGCCTGACATGACACTTGCTATGTTTTTTAATGCCTGACATGACAATGTATAATGTGAACACTTACTTGTCCTGTTTACGAGCTTTCTCATACAGGCCCATTGTCTGTTCAGCTTCTTGTAGTTTACCCTGGTACCTGAAACCAAACAAATTAAAAATTAATTGTCAAGGCAAAGTCAGGCAGTATTTTTTTCAATATTATACCAACTTAAATAACATGTGTGCTGTGTAATGCTATTTTTTTTGTAACTTCAATTTCGTAAACTTAAACTGTACATGTATTGAGAGTAACAAAGTTCACTACAAGAGCACAGCAAACGGATGCATAATCTGACCCTATCCAATGATTTGTTGTTTGTTAAATTAAATCCATATTGTCCTTGTTAGACCCCACATGAACATCCATGCCAAAACCTAGGACAATAACACATGATCTGACTGAACTGTACACCACTGAAGAAACTTGCACCAAAACTTTAACCAAGAAATTGTGCGAGAAAAATTAAGACACAAACACGTTCCAAAATTTACAAAAATAGGAACTATTTTCCCAAATTAAATCCATATTGTCCTATTTAGACCCCGCATGAACATCCATGCCAAAAATTAGGACAATAACACATGATCTGACTGAACTGTACACCACTGAAGAAACTTGCACCAAAACTTTAACTGAGAAATTGCGCGAGAAAAGTTAAGTCCCAAACACGTCCAAAATTAACAAAAATATGGATTTACTGTCCTTGTTAGACCCCACATGAACATCCATGCCAAACATTAGGACAATAATACATGATCTGACTGAACTGTAGACTACTGAAGAAACTTGCACCTAAACTTTAACCGGACGGACGGAAACGCTATACCATAATACATCCGTCAAATTTCGACGGGCGGATTATCATAAGCATTCAATTCAGTGTATTCCTCCAAAAGCAGTACAGCTATAGGAGTTTTACAATGTAATAACATGTAATACGATGTATTACGTACAAGACAACGCTGACAGAGGCTGGACAATGTGTAACAATATCGCTCCGTGTCATAATTCATGATAAATGTACTACACAAGATAACACAATGATATTACTAGTAACAGTGGCAATACACTAAACTTAACCAAGATTGTTTAGTTGTTTACATTCCTTACAGACAGGAATTGTAGTAATAGGCACAATTCATTATAGAATGTTTTATAGAATGTTCAATGTAAGTGTGTATTGTATTACCGAAGTGTTATTAAGGTTTTACAGATTCACTCTTTAGGTCTCATTGTCTTGACAAGATATTTGGTACACTGCTTCCTTCCTTGTCTTGTATTCAGCAAAACATTGATCTACTTCCTTCCTCTAAATATGGTCTAGTACAGTTATACTCCTTCCTTTAAATACTGTCTAGTACAGTAATACTGGTCAAGATTTTAGGTACTTATCTTTCTTCCTTGTTATCCAGTATGCTAGACAAGTGCTTTTTTTTAACTAATTGAGGGTTCGGGCAAAGATGTTTTTTTTTTTGTAAGGCATACACATTTTACATCTTTGTGTGCATACACTTCACTGGTCAATTTTCTGATTAGTGACAGACTATATTGTACTAGTCATTGAAACATCACACATAAACATTTCATTGGCTTTCCTATATGACCCTCTATACAATAAGTTCAGAATCTTTCTAAATATCTTTCTACTCGCTCCACCCCAATGTGATTATTTCAGCTCTATACTCACTTGGTAATATCCTCCTGGCTATGAGCCAACTGCTGCTGGAGACGACTCAGTTCGCCGATCATTGCTGTGTATTTCTCCTCAAACAGTTTCTGATTCTTTTCAAATATCTCACTCCTGTTGTTTAGGTCTATTTCCATGTTCTGTCACAGTCAAAAATCAAGGTGAAGTAGGACACACAAGCCCCTAATTAAAAAATACTTCTACGAAACTAGAAACCATTTATAAACCATACAGTTACCCTTACATAGATTGAGGGAGTTGAAATGTTAAGTCTATTAAACCGATGAAACATCTTTACCCTACATAGATTGAAGGAGTTGAAATGTTAAGTCTATTAAACCAATGAAACATCTTTACCCTTACACAGATTGAAGGAGTTGAAATGTTAAGTCTATTAAACCGATGAAACATTTTTACCCTTATATAGATTGAAGGAATTTAAATGTTAAGTCTATTAAACCAATGAAACATCTTTACCCTTACATAGATTGAGGGAGTTGAAATGTTAAGTCTTTTAAACCGATGAAACATCTTTACCCCTACATAGATTGAAGGAGTTGAAATGTTAAGTTTATTTAACCAATGAAACATCTTTACCCTTACACAGATTGAAGGAGTTGAAATGTTAAGTCTATTAAACCAATGAACATCTTTGCCCTTACATAGATTGAAGGAGTTGAAATGTTAAGTCTATTAACCCTTTCACCACTGTAAACCATTATAGACTCATCCATATCAATGCATGGTATAGTCTATTAAAGTTACATAGGGGTGAAAGGGTTAAACCGATGAAACATATTATAGAATCCCTTTTTTGCATATGAATTAATACGGTATATCTGGAATTTTGCGCTGCATATTAATTATTGCCTTGTTCAATCGTAATGAGGGCAAACTTATCATTACAGCGAATATAAGTAGAGATCATAATACACAAGTCATTTGATGTGAGGGGCGAAACTAACACAGGGCAAAAGTGGATTGTATGGGTTAAGGGCGAAAGTTTGACTTGGCCCAAGTTTCCCCGTATACAGTATTCCTACATGTAACTACTCTTAATAGTGCCTAGGGCCACCAGAGGAAAACTTCTGTAGAATCACATTACTGTATCTGTATTTGTAACATACCTTATAATCATGATTTCGTTTCTGCAGCAACATTGTAAGTTCCTGTAGTTGTTTTGTGGCAACTTGTAGCTCCCCCTGGAGGTGATCTGTTTCCCTAATGGCCCGAATTAGGTCATCCTTGTAGGGCTCATAAGGGTCCGTCAGGGTACTGGTTGTCTTGGTTTCCACGGAAACTTGAACGGCCACTGTAGTTGTCACAGTGCGTGGTGGGAATTGCTGAAGGGAAGGCCTGGTAAGAGAATAGGCGTTGGACAGGGGTGGGGGCTGTGTGAATACGTTAGAGGCTGATGAGCTGTTCTGTCCCACACTAAAGGATGAAGGTACATAGGGCGAGTATGGAGACACAGACGGTGGCATGGCAATGGGTGGAGGGGGGAAGGAGTGAAAGGAAAGGTCTGAATTCTTGATAGAGTCATCACCTGTTGACCAAATACTACTGGTCGTCACTGAAGGAAAACCTGTCATATTCAATGGATAATCCTTCTTTTTCTCATAATGGTTTTTCATGTACTGATCCACCATACTTTTCTTGGTTTTTGCCCGAGACTGACGCACGTTTTTCTGTGAATTCATATCCTGCCAGATATCTTGGCTGACCTGTTCGAGAGTCTTGGTCCGCTCTGATTCGGGGATCATGCCGTTTGTCAGCATTTCGGTCACAGTATCATTTGCCAACTCGTACACAAATTTATTGTCCATACGCTGGCACTCCTTCTGTGTAGCCATGGAGACCTCCTCCTTGAGTGTGTGGGCAAAATTTGACCCGATAGGAGGAGGGCGAATAATGCCAGGCGATACTGATGGAGATATATTTACCTCGCCCCGTCGAGACATGTTAGCCAGCGGGGAACCTATAGGTGCTGGTCTGTTTACGGCCATAGAGCTAGGTGTATTGTCCATAGCAGAGGGCACCGGAGACCCAATGGGTCCGAACCCCTGTCTGACAGCCGGTGACCCTGGAGCTGGCCAGGATGTGGGGCCCGGTGACATGCTCGGTGACGACATGTCACCGGGAGCCCCGTAGGTATTGGCCATCAATTCTGAAACATCTGATTTATCAATAGAACTGAAACGATCACTTTTATAGGACTTAGTCATTAGGTCTGATATATCACTACTACGTTCACTCATGTCCGACCTGGAGCTGCTACGACTCATCAAATCCAGCTTACTATCCACACTGAGGATCTTACTTGGCAAGTCCTGTCGGTCATCTCCCCACCTCCCCTCTAACAAGTCCCCGCGACTACTTATGCTTTCCCGGTCAGATATATTGCTTTTCACACTCTCCGTATCATTTTCCGATGCCCAGCGAATGTCCTCACAAGCATCCATAGAGTTGTTTCCCTTAGGCCGCTTAAAAATATCAATATCGTCAATAGAATCAAGACTATCCAGATCATGCATTCTCGCTTCAGGCTTTGCATGTTTCACAGGACTGTTTAAATTAAAATCGTCCAAGGAATCTATACCCCCACCATTCCTATACGACTTAGATTTCTCTGGAAACAAATGTGTACTAGCAGTCACTTTGGTTTTAACACTCGATTCAATTTCACTTGTACTGGCTCCGTTTTTAACATCAGAGTTATCCCCCCTTTTGATATTCCAAGCATTTTGTCTTTGTTTAGGTTCAAATTCAGTAGCATTTGGATTTAAGGTTTCAGTCTTTTCACCACTAAGTATGGCATTCTTTGATTTGTCGCGAGCCACTGAGATCGAGCGAGCTTTACCGGCGTCAACCAGCAGACACACAATGCTGTCAATCATTGCAAACTTCTTTGACTGTTGTAAGAATGCACTAAGTCCGCCAACCTTCATCACACGTTCCTTTGCCTCTGGAGGGAAATCTTCAAACATTGAGGTTATTTTAGTATCCTCGACATGAAGAGGTCCATGAGCCCGTAACAAATCTTCAAAGAAACTGAAATAATAATACTGGAAATGACTTTTTGTCAATGTTCAAGATATTTTGTTAATGAAAATATTCTGACAAAAAAGGAATTGTTACAATCTGTTACACAACTTTCTGTAATTTTATTTTTCAGGACTAATTGACAGAACCCTCATGCTTGATATATATAATCGGAAGGACAGATCTATTTGTAAATTTTCGTTTTTCCTTGAACATTAAATAGGAGTTCTTGCTGACATACAAACTATATAGAGAAATATCCTAACTATTTTGGATTGAATAGAAATGAACTGTGAAAAATAGGCAGAGACTTAAAGCTTACTCAGTTGAAGTTATCTTCAAACTTTAATACTTTCAAACTTATAGATGAGCTATATATATGTACAGATTGCTGATTATCACATTTCGAACACAATACAATTTTTTTAATTGAGACGAATGTACACTTACTCAAAAAGATTGTCTGTGATATCATCAAATGGAATCTCGTAATTGTGGTAGGACTGCTCAAAGGCTTTGACGGAGGGCTCAAGGTTGTTGGGTACACGAAAGGGTTCGCGTCCACTTCTGTAACAGTGAATACATGTGATATCAGACACACAGTGAATACACGTGATATCAGACACAAAGTGAATACATGTGATATCAGACACACAGTGAATACATGTGATATCAGACACACAGTGAATACATGTGATATCAGACACACAGTGAATACATGTGATATCAGACACACAGTGAATACATGTGATATCAGACACACAGTGAATACATGTGATATCAGACACACAGTGAATACATGTGATATCAGACACACAGTGAATACATGTGATATCAGACACACAGTGAATACATGTGATATCAGACACACAGTAATTACATGTGATATCAGACACACAGTGAACATGTGATATCAGACACAGAGTGAATACATGTGATATCAGACACAAAGTAAATACACGTGATATCAGACACACAGTGAATATGATATCAGACACACAGGTAATACATGTGATATCAGACACACAGTGAATATGATATCAGACACACAGTGAATATGATATCAGACACACAGGTAATACATGTGATATCAGACACACAGTGAATATGATATCAAACACACAGTGAATACATGTGATATCAGACACACAGTGAATATGATATCAGACACAGTGTATATAGTGTACATAGGATATTAGTGGACATTGCTGCCTCTATATCCCAGTCAATATAATTGAAATACAATGTGGTAAACATAAAATAAGTCCATATATATAAGATGCCGTATGATCGTACTTCAACAGTTTGTCCATGTTTCTCTCAAAAAGTCAAACACGTTTAGAATACAGAACATGTGCTGCTTTCTATATGACCTATAACAGTGACCCCTGACCTTTGATATTGATGCTCCTCTGCCTCGTCGGCGTTATGTTCCCCGTAAAGCTGCTTCTCATGGTCATCAGTAAAGTTCACCTCCAGGGAGAGCACTGTTGGCTTCGTGCGTTCTCTCTCCTTCTTCCTCTTAGGCTTTTGTTTCTTTGTGATCTGACACAAATGTGGAAGATACTCATTAAACTGGCAAGACATCTGTAACAGTTAGATATGAATGTCCCCACTCCCGTGTACACGTGTGTCTTTGTTTGACAAATTTTTATAAACAGTTCAAAAAGTACAATAGACTGACATTAAGAATTAAATTACTCCATTTTAAAATTTGATTTAAATTGTAATCGATCATCACATGTTTGATATCCTCTCGATATGTATTTCTATGTATGAAATGAAACATGAACTATGCTGATCTCTGTAGAGACTGTGGCCCACTAAGTAAAGCTCAGAATAAATGTAAACCTTGTATTTATCCATATTATCATTTTCATCATCTCGGCGCAGGACTGCTGTTGTTGTGGGATTTTTCTCTCCAGGCTCTGTTCCTTCTATAGGTTTCTCCTTTTTTTCTGGATTAACCTCTGCAACTGTCAATAAAAGTTTCCTTTGTAAACACTATCAAATTGTCTTTTTCAAGTTTCTATAGTAACCTCCTCAACTGTCATTTCAAATCTGAACTTAACAAACCCTATATTACCAAATTGAGCATAGGTTCTATTTCAAATTCTGCCTCATACATTTTTAAATAATTGGCTTAAAGAACTTAGACACCAATAAAATAACTATTTGCCTATTAACTAAGTCTGTAGAGCAGAAGGTTGCAACGCGAACATGTATTATGTTCAAGTGGTGAGTTCTGTGAACACAGGTGAAGTTTAGTGACACTCGTAACAAAAGAAGTCTGAAGAGCGATGAGGTCAAAAATTCTATCAAATTCTATTCATAGTTGACATTATTTTTGACCGCAGAAGATTGAAATACGAACTCATACAAAACGTGATGTTTGCGGACAAGTTTGTGCAGTTTTGTGAAAATTGATTAAGAAATGAAGTCTGCAGAGCATTGATGCCATTAGGGACATGTATGTAACATACGGGCAGATCCTTATATACACTGGATAACTCGTCACCAGGGTATAACCATTCTTTCGCAAAAGAAAATATGAAATACAATAACTAACACACAAGACTAAAGAAGCCGTAGAAGGCGAGAAATGCTTAGCGGTCAGGCTCGAGTGTTTGTGTTATAGATAATTTACCAACTAAGCGGTCAGGCTTGAGTGTTTGTGTTATAGATAATTTACCTACTAAGCGGTCAGGCTTTAGTGTTTGTGTTATAGATAATTTACCTACTTAGCGGTCAGGCTCGAGTGTTTGTGTTAGATAATTTACCTACTTAGCGGTCAGGCTGGAGTGTTTGTGTTATATAATTTACCTACTTAGCGGTCAGGCTTTAGTGTTTGTGTTATATAATTTACCTACTTAGCGGGCAGGCTCGAATGTTTGTGTTATAGATAATTTACCTACTTAGCGGTCAGGCTCGAGTGTTTGTGCTATATATAATTTACCTACTTAGCGGTCAGGCTCGAGTGTTTGTGTTATAGATAATTTACCAACTAAGCGGTCAGGCTTGAGTGTTTGTGTTATAGATAATTTACCTACTTAGCGGTCAGGCTCGAGTGTTTGTGCTATATATAATTTACCTACTTAGCGGTCAGGCTCGAGTGTTTGTGTTATATATAATATACCTACTTAGCGGTCAGGCTTGAGTGTTTGTGTTAGATAATTTACCTACTTAGCGGTCAGGCTTTAGTGTTTGTGTTATAGATAATTTACCTACTTAGCGGTCAGGCTTGAGTGTTTGTGTTATATAATTTGCCTACTTAGCGGTCAGGCTTGAGTGTTTGTGTTATAGATACAATTAGCGGTCAGGCTTGAGTGTTTGTGTTATATAATTTACCTACTTAGCGGTCAGGCTAGAGTGTTTGTGTTATATATAATTTACCTACTTAAGTGTTTGTGTTATAGATAATTTACCTACTTAGCGGTCAGGCTCGAGTGTTTGTGTTATATATAATTTACCTACTTAGCGGTCAGGCTTGAGTGTCTGTGTTATAGATAATTTACCTACTTAGCGGTCAGGCTCGAGTGTTTGTGTTATAGATAATTTGCCTACTAAGCGGTCAGGCTCGAGTGTTTGTGTTATAGATAATTTACCTACTAAGCGGTCAGGCTCGAGTGTTTGTGTTATAGATAATTTCCTACTTAGCGGTCAGGCTTGAGTGTTTGTGTTATAAATAATTTACCTACTTAGCGGTCAGGCTCGAGTGTTTGTGTTATAGATAATTTCCTACTTAGCGGTCAGGCTTGAGTGTTTGTGTTATATAATTTGCCTACTTAGCGGTCAGGCTTGAGTGTTTGTGTTATATAATTTGCCTACTTAGCGGTCAGGCTTGAGTGTTTGTGTTATAGATACAATTAGCGGTCAGGCTTGAGTGTTTGTGTTATATAATTTGCCTACTTAGCGGTCAGGCTTGAGTGTTTGTGTTAAATAATTTACCTACTTAGCGGTCAGGCTTTAGTGTTTGTGTTATATATAATTTACCTACTTAGCGGTCAGGCTTGAGTGTCTGTGTTATAGATAATTTACCTACTTAGCGGTCAGGCTCGAGTGTTTGTGTTATATATAATATACCTACTTAGCGGTCAGGCTTGAGTGTTTGTGTTATATAATTTGCCTACTTAGCGGTCAGGCTTGAGTGTTTGTGTTATAAATAATTTACCTACTTAGCGGTCAGGCTCGAGTGTTTGTGTTATAGATAATTTCCTACTTAGCGGTCAGGCTTGAGTGTTTGTGTTATAGATACAATTAGCGGTCAGGCTTGAGTGTTTGTGTTATATAATTTGCCTACTTAGCGGTCAGGCTTGAGTGTTTGTGTTATAAATAATTTACCTACTTAGCGGTCAGGCTCGAGTGTTTGTGTTATATATAATTTACCTACTTAAGTGTTTGTGTTATAGATAATTTACCTACTTAGCGGTCAGGGCTGAGTGTTTGTGTTATAGATAATTTACCTACTTAGCGGTCAGGCTCGAGTGTTTGTGTTATAGATAATTTGCCTACTAAGCGGTCAGGCTCGAGTGTTTGTGTTGTAGATAATTTACCTACTAAGCGGTCAGGCTCGAGCGTTTGGGTTATAGATAATTTACCAACTAAGCGGTCAGGCTCGAGTGTTTGTGTTGTAGATAATTTACCTACTTAGCGGTCAGGCTTGAGTGTCTGTGTTATAGATAATTTACCTACTTAGCGGTCAGGCTGGAGTGTCTGTGTTATATAATTTACCTGCTTCAGCTGGTTCCGACTTCTCCGCTGTTTTCTCCTCCTTCTCCTTTGTTTTGTCCGACTCTAACATGGAGTCAATGTCCTCCACCAAATCATCTGCCTCCTCCTTCAGTTCTTGTTTCCTCTTCCTCCTCAACTCTTTCTTCTCTAACTTTCTGTTAATTTTGTATTCACTGTAACAGGATAAATTACTTGATTTGATTAAATTGATCAACATCTGTATTATACATTTTCTAATAGAGTAGAATTTAATTTCAGTTTATGTTTGAATTACATCTTTCTTTATCTTATGTCCTATATCCTTTTTTTTAACTAGAACACTGACAGGTCAGTAAGGGCCCCGTCTTGTGCCAATTAATATATCCCCTATAATCATCAAGTAGCGATCTGCCCATATAGCTGAGCTTGACGTTTGACATTTGGACTTCAAAAAGAATTGCAAGGAAGCAAAATATACATTTTACATGTACTATGATGCGAGTCTTGTTTCCTTCCACCTCCATATTTGCTGGGTTAACAGAAATGTAAATATCAGTGCAATACTCATGTGTTAGCTTTGATTTGTTTTATTTCACCTTATATACCTCCTCCATCAAGAGCCAGGGTCAAAGTCAGAGATCCACTTTGTCTTTGACCTTTGGACCCAAATGACCTTGACCATTAACCCAGTGACCCTGATCTTTTGTCAGTTGACTTATTCTTTAATTCTGACCAACTTTGCTTCTTAATATCATAACAAAATATTCATCAGTGAAAAATACAAAACTTGACTTGACCCTTTGGACCCAGTAACTTGAACCTAAGGTCAGTTGACTCTGTGTTAAGTTCTTAACAACATTACTTCATAATGTCATAGCAAAATGTTCACCAGTGAAAAGATACAAAATTTAACCATGACCTTTGACCCAATGACCTTGACCTTTGGTCAGTTGACTCGTTGTTTAATTCTGATCAACTTTGCTTCATTATGTCATAACAAAATGTACATCAGTGAAAAGATGCAAAAATTGACCTTGACCTTTGAATCAAATGACCTTGACCTTTGGTCTTGACTTTTTACCTTAATGTGTATTTTAATGAACTGAACATTTTGACCAAGTTTCATGTACATCAGTCAATAAATATCAAAGTTATCAGCCAGGAACAAAGTTTGTGGACGGACAGACAGACAGACAGACAGAGTGATTACTATAGGGCACCCGTATCTCCGATACGGGGCCCTAATAAATGCTAAACCAATGAATATATATAATAACTTCAGAGTTCTATTTATCCAAAGAAACATAGTAATCATTGGGATCAATGTTTTGCTGTTGAAAAAAAGAAAGGTTTTCTGATGACAAAAGGTTTCAATTACACAGAAATGTATGCATTGAGCCTCAGTTGAACATCTGGTTTAGACAGGGCTACATAGTATAGTGTTCGGCTGAGACATATCACTCTGTACTTAGTGAATGTTTGGTTTGGTTTTGGTTTAATTTTGTTTAACGTCCTATTAACAGCTAAGGTCATTTAAGAACGTGCCTCCATGTGTAAAGTGTATGCAGGAGACAGGGTATGTTGGTGTTAGTTCAAAATCTTAGATTTTAAAACTATCCACAGTAACAAGTTTTCAAGCAGAAAATTAACAAACATCAATATATTTAATTAGCATTTCATCTACAGAAACCAGCTAAGAGAGTGTTTGTTTGTTTGTGTTTTACGTCCTATTAACAGCTATGGTCATTTTAAGACATGCCAGGTTGTGATGGTGGAGGAAAGACGGAGTTCCCAGAAAAAAAACACCGACCAATGGCCAGTACCTGGCGACTGCCCCACAGAGGTCTCGAACCTGCAAACCAGTGGTGGAGGGCTAGTGGTAGCAGAATGTCAGACGCCTTAACCACTTGGCCACCGCGATTTAGTTTAGAGAGCATAAATCTAAAGTGATGATCAGACATCAGTGTTTAATTTATTGAAAATCTACCTCAAATTTGACAATTAAGTATGACATCTCAATATCTAACTAGCAAATTCGTGGAATTTATATCCCCCCGCTTGCAGGAAATATTGTAGGTAAACATTATTGAGGTTAGGTTTAAACATGTGAGTATCGTAATGTTTAGACATAACGATAGCTTGAATCTCGAAGAAAAAAAGCAAGCCTTATACAGAAGTTTGACTTTTTATTGAACATGTAGGTATTACAGTGTAAATTAATTGTTTAATCCATCAGAATTTACCTACCTCATTAATTATATGTAAATATGCACAAATCACATCGGTTGGCAAACTTAGCATGAGTCGGGTGTGAATATGGAATTTTGTTGAAATATATGCACAATATCTACAGCAATTATCACACAAAAACCAAAGATTGCCCGAAATGGGTGGAAAGACAGAGGAACACAAACAGTGTTATCAAGTTTGAAGGATTTGGCTAATATTTGCTAGAGTTATTATGCGGAAACTGCTGAAAATGATGTTTTTCGTTAATCAAGGGGCCATAACTCCCCCAAATAAAGTCCGCTGAAAGTGGTCAGCGAACTTGGCCGAGCCCTGAAGGCATTTAACCCTGTTACCAAGTTTGAAGACAATCGGTTAACATTTGTTGCAGTTATTGCACAGAAACGAAGAGTGACAGACAGACGGACAAACTCAAATTAATATCCCCCGTTTCGGTGAAGCGGGGGATAATAATTCCTAAATGGCTGGTCAACTTTTCAAAATTTAATACAAATTTTAACATATTACCCTTTAAGTGAAAGCAACATATATTTGGCAAGTTTAATAACACTGATTTGACATGAACACTAACATCCATGTAAGGTTGTTTCAGGTATATGCGTTATTAGTTTTGATTACGATGAAGCCTTTCTGATATGATACCCTATGGGACAATGTATTCCGTCTTTTCGTATTCCAGAGTTATCTGCTCTTGTGAGCAGGTATTGATTGTTACGTCATTAGTTTGGGTGAGAAAATTACGTAAATTATGACGTTACTCTCACAAACAAATGACGTAACAATCTATACCTGCTCACAAGAGCAGATAACTCTACGATACGAAAAGACGGAATATGTCAGATAGGACAGGATGTTTTCATTAGAACATGATAACAGCATTGATAGACAAGAGAGTACACTCTGAGATAGGATAAGAGTTCACTACAGCTGGCAAAATAGCAATGGTGGTTATGTGAGTCAATGAATATGCTGTATGAATGTTCATGAATGCAATGCATGCTGATAAAATATCCTTACATATCGAGACTGCTATAAAACAAGAAATACCAAAATTAGTGCTCTGGATACGTTTGTTTACGATGAATTGATTTTATTTTTAGATACTTTTAAAATTTATAATTCAAATACTGCATGCTAAGGGAATAATCACCTTGCACAATGTACCAATAATCTTAGATTTGAAGTTTGTTAGCGGTTTCCAGCTGTTAGATGAATACATAATGTAACCATTTATCTTAGATTTGAAGTTTGTTAGCCGTTTCCAGCTGTTAGATGAATACATAATGTCACCATTAATCTTAGATTCGAAGTTTGTTAGCGGTTTCCAGCTGTTCGCTGAATACATAATGTCACCATTAATCTTAGATTCAAAGTTTGTTAGCTGTTTCCAGCTGTTAGCTGAATACATAATGTAACCATTAATCTTAGATTTGAAGTTTGTTAGCCGTTTCCAGCTGTTAGATAAATACATAATGTAACCATTTATCTTAGATTTGAAGTTTGTTAGCCGTTTCCAGCTGTTAGCTGTATACATAATGTAACCATTAATCTTAGATTTGAAGTTTGTTAGCCGTTTCCAGCTGTTAGCTGAATACATAATGTAACCATTAATCTTAGATTTGAAGATTGTTAGCTGTTTCCAAATTAATCTTGGCATGACCAAGTTGGGGAGAAATTTTATTTCATCTGAATTAGGTTTTCATAAAAGTCATGCAAGGTATGATTTTATTTTCAGAAATGATTTATTGAACAAACCAAGTCATATTGGGAAAAAAAGAGTTTTGGAAGTTAAAAGTGGTACAGGATTTTATTCTTTAAGTTTTCCTACAAACCCTGGAGCATTTCCTGACCTCTAACTCTGTAAAATTCCCATCATAAAACTAAGATGTTGTTATGCGACTTCTCTCCAGGGTTCTACCGGCAATATACCACAGGAATTTGGGGTAATAGTGTGCTTATATTCAGTAAACAAAAGTTCTGCTAATATCTTAGTGAGGCAGGGTCTGCCAACACCAGAGCCCAATGGTAAGATTGACAATGGTTGTAATTACCAGCAACAACATGCAAAGTGTTGTATACTGAATTGAATGACTAGAGACACTAGCTGTGATTACCACACAACAAGACAAGGTGTCAAACTTGTTTCTTTGAATCACTCAGTCCTTCAAGTAAATACTGTACCTGCATGCTGGCAGCTTTTTGGGAGGAACCCTGGGCTTCACTGGAGGTTTGTGACTTTTGTCAGAATCAATCTGGAAGTTCAAACAATATGTTTAAATTCCACGGTTGTTTTCATGTCAGATAGTAATTCAGTGCTAAAAGATTCAGTAAAATAATGAAACTACATTTACTAAAGCAATCATACATTAAGGCTACATTCGCGTATCCCGGTTGAAACGGTACGTGTGGCGCAGAAATTTTCCACGATAAACGAACACACTTGGACCGTTTTATATGCAGAGCTAAAAATCCACAGTTTCGGAGAATAAAAAACAGTGTTTCAAGAATATTATGACCTTCTTTCATCCGTCCACTGAATTACATAACGTAACTTAAAAACTACATGTGACTTGACATTGTTTTAGAAAGAAATAACGCAAATTGGCAATAGTCAGCATTTTAGTTTCGGTCAGGCACGTCTGGACCCCTCAATCTAAACGTGCCAAATTTTCCTGAGGTCAGCCTCGGTCCAGATCTGTACCTGTCGTTTTCTTTACAGGTTCAACCGGTTCAACCGTTTCAACCGGTAACGCGAATGTACCCATATATATGTATAGATAACAAATATATATATGTATAGATAACAAATATATATATGTATATAACAAATATATATATGTATAGATAACAAATATATATATATGTATAGATAAAATATATATATATGTAAAGATAACAAATATATATAGATTTCAGAACTAGTGCAAACACTAAAATGTCCACACTGCCATCAGTTTAACCCTTTCACCCCTATGTAACTTAAGTAAACTCTACCATGCATTGATCTGGATAAGTCCATTATGATACATAGCGGTGAAAGGGTTAAAGAGTCACGACACAAGATTTTCTTCAACAGAAAGATTTTAGCGTCTTATAGCACACAATGCTATAGGAGCACACCTACCTCCTTAGTTGTCTTGTCTTGTTTGAATATAACAATCTTTATAATGACAGCATGACATTCCGGAGTAGGACAATTCTTCTCCAGCATTTCCTGTAAGTCAACAACATGCTTTTTTTGAAGATCAGGTCATAAAATGACAATTTCTATGGTATCATTTTTAACCTCCAATCGCTTGAAAATGAAGAAGTTATACATGTTTTTATTTTGAATATTCATGAAACACTACTTATCTTAAATCTACCTTTACCCTTTCAGTAACGCTGACCTTATACCAGGCCCCAAAGTAACATTCAAAATTCACCTCAGACTGAGTAGGAGCTCAAGTCACTATGATAACTTTATGGGATGGGGTGTTTTCCCTATGTAAGAGGCACGGTAGTCTAGTGCTAAGAGGCCGGGCTCATGTCCAAAAGGGTTGTGGGTTCGAATCAAGGCACGGCACTGTGTTGTATCTTTGAGCAAGATACTTTACTCCGCTTGTTCCAGTCTACTCAGCTGTAAATGAGTACGTGGTTGGGCAGTGCTATAATTGTAGAATGCTAGCTGTGAGTGCCGAAATGGCAGCATCGGCTGTATGCTCCCCAGGAGGTTGAAAAAGATATTGGCTGGTTGCTAAGGCCCTATAACCACGGATAATAATTTGTGAATCGCTACGAACTAGGTTGTGATAAAGCGGTATATAAGAACCTCAAATTTTATTATTATTATTATTTATTGGATTGGTTATATGACTTTTGAAATGGGAAAATTGTGTCACTGTAAACCAAATGTAAAATTCTGAAAATACTGCATTTTTTCTTTTTCAACCACAGTATCATTTAAAAGTCTAAGACATCCTTATCTATGAAATATTTCATTTTAGATAAATAGATTAATAGAATCATCCCCTACCTTGAGGGTGTGATAGAGAAATCTCCAACCCGAGGGGTGATGTTTTTTGGTTGTCTAACCCGAAACCCTATTGCACATCTACATTTTACAGTTTATCTCTGGAAACGAAAGTGTGGATGGGCTGACGACAGACAGACATTGTGATTACTATAGGGCACCCAGTTCTCCCATGCTGAGCAGAACACCAGGTAGAGAACGGAATTCAGTAAACAAGCTTACCTTATCTGCGGTTCGGTCCATGTCTCCAAATTTACACTTGTAGACCTTCCAGCATTGAGTGTGAAACTCTATTATACACTGCGAGTCACAGCGAATCCTTACAAAGCCCTGTGGGTACACAACAGATCAGTCTTAGTAACATGTAGCTAGGAGGCATCGTGACTTGGCCTGATTTGATGTCTCTACAGTCCATACATGGACCCATGGTAAACACAGGTTTTTATATATTAAACTTTATTTATTCTATGACAGTTGAGAAACTAGTTCTATCAACTTATATTCGTCAATCTTGTTGGTCTGGATGGTGGCATGCATCTGGTAGAAATGTAAACAGGTAAACAGCACGCATACTAAAGGCTGGTAGAAATGTCAACAGGTAAACAGCAGGCGTACTAAATGCTGGTAGAAATGTAAACAGATAAACAGCAGGCATACTAAAGGCTGGTAAACAGGTAAACAGCAGGCGTACTAAAGGCTGGTAGAAATGTACACAGGTAAACAGCAGGCATACTTAAGGCTGGTAGAAATGTAAACAGGTAAACATCAGGCATACTTAAGTCTGGTAGAAATGTAAACAGGTAAACAGCAGGCGTACTAAAGTCTGGTAGAAATGTAAACAGGTAAACAGCACGCATACTAAAGGCTGGTAGAAATGTAAACAGATAAACAGCAGGCATACTAAAGGCTGGTAGAAATGTAAACAGGTAAACAGCAGGCGTACTAACAGCTGGTAGAAATGTAAACAGGTAAACAGCAGGCGTACTAGAGGCTGGTAGAAATGTAAATGGGTAAACAGCAGGTGTACTAAAGGTTACTCATGAAGTATGACTGACAAATTTCAACTTTCACAAGGTAAATACTGAAATGTATACAGTAGTCACTGGAGTTGAATTCATTTTTAAAGTACCATATAATAATTTTTTCTTAACAACAATTGTGAAAAAAAAATCTAAATGGAAATAAAATTCAGCCCTAAGATATGGACAGGAAATATTATGTCTATAATGTATTGCAAAAATCCTGAACAAAGACATTTTTTTTATCATTATTTTCAAGCATGTTCAAGATCATGTAATTTTACCTTAAAGTCTGGATCCATGAAATAGATGACGGTCCTCGTGTCCTCATCATCGCTATGGTAACGACAGTGTGCATCAGCTGGTGGTGGGTATTTACATTGCAGCTTTAACTCCTCGATGCGTTTCTGAAGTCAAAAGTTCTTCACTATTTTTAAATATTGTCACCTTTTGTTGTCGAGGAATATTGAAAGTTGATCTTTCCTTTATAACACAAATCAACTTTTATGTACTCAAACAAGTTACCTAAATTTGATGACTACATTCATTTTCTCTATCAAATTTTCATGTGCAGCAAATATGCATTTTCTTGAACATAGGAATCTTACTTTTTCACGAAATATACAAATGTCTATTTTCCTGTTAATTTATCAAAAATGTGTTTTTTTTGGTGTTTTTTTTTTTTTGTATTTGTTTTCCCAATTTTCTCTTTTTCTTTAATATTCAAAAGACCTTTTTGATTTTCTATCTGTTTACTGACCACGAGAACATTGTGAGTGTTTTCCTCGATCTTGTTCTTGGTGCCTGGCCAGGAGACATGGGTGAGTTTGGTGTTGTTAGTGATCTTCCATGCAGTTGCCAAGGGCACCTTTGCCTCGGAAAATCTACAAAAACAAAATGTCACATTTTTCTTGGCTGGTTTTATTTGATTAACTGCCGAACAAGTTTGGACAGAAACATTGTTTTATCTGGATTGGCATTGTTTTATCTGGATTGGCATCATTTTATCTGGATTGGCATTGTTTTATTTGGATTGGCATTGTTTTATCTGGATTGGCATCGTTTTATCTGGATTGGCACATTATTTGACGAACAACAACAGAGTGAATAACAGTTGACCGAGGATACATGAATCTACATGGCAGCTCAACTGAACACAGGGATAATCCCTGAAGGGGTCATGGGGTCATGGGGCCATTGACCCCTCCATGTTCCAATTTTCTTTTAATTTTACATAGAATGGCCCCTATTAATTATGATATTGACTCACAATTGCTGAAAGTGGCCCACTGCTCTCAAACTCCAGGATTTTCCCTGTCAGAACACTATAGATCGGCACAATTTTTATTGTGTATGCCTGGCTTGTTTCGTAGAGTGTGACAGTGGAATTAAATTTACCAGTAAAACACCTATACAGTAAACATACCTGTTAAGAGCAACCAATGCTTTTGCACGACCGTAATGGGCAAGAGGGAACTTTGTCTCCTGGTGGTTAGCTAGAATGTCCTCAAACTTCTCCATGCCATCCATTATATACTGTAATGAAGTCAAAGTTACCATAATAAACTATAGTAAAGAGAAAGAAGCAGATTTCAAACATACCGTCAGCTGTAAAGTTAACATTTAATTATAAATACATGCATGTGTATATCTTCAAGCTAGTATCAAATTTACCATTCCTTAAATTTATTGACCGATGTATATAAATTTCTATTCTGAACATTTGATTCTTTTGTGGACTTTTGCATGATAATCTTCAAGCTATTATTAATTCTATGATTCTTACGGAAAATCTTACATCAGGTCGAGGAAAAATTGGTAAATTCCTTTTGACAGCAACACAAAATTGCTCACTCACATCTTCAAACTTAATGTCAGTAACACATCTGGCCAGTTGTTCAAAGGGTGATTAGCTTAATCAGTGATTAGCGCAAATTTCAACTTTTGTGTATCTTTGAAATGCAACAATCAACCTAGTTCAAACTTTCCAGATATCAAGTATTTAGTAGAGTAAATATACGTGTACAATCTCAAGTTTTTACCTTGTATATTGAAGAAATTATTAAAGGTTAAAAAATGTTGTTAAACAGTGATTATGCTAATCATCTTTTGAACAACTGGGCCCAGATTGATTTTCTGAGAACAATACAACAAAGGGAGACCACTGACCTTGCATATACCAGTGGACACTGCTGATTCTCCGTAGGCATACTTGAGAGCCACCACATCATGGGTGTTCATGTTAAAGTGCTGCAAACAGAAAATATCTAAAATTTACAATCACTGTTTTGGGTTATTTTGGACATGTATATACCGTATATGGTTTTGGACATGTATATACCGTATATGGTTTTGGACATGGATATACTGTATATGGTTTTGGAAATGTATATACTGTAGATGGTTTTGGACATGTATATACTGTATGTGGTTTTGGACATGTATATACTGTATGTGGTTTTGGACATGTATATACTGTGGATGGGATTGGACATGTATATACTGTTGATGGTTTTGGACATGTATATACTGTAGATAGTTTTGGACATGTATATACTGTATACGGTGTTGGACATGTATATACTGTAGATGGGTTTGGACATGTATATACTGTATATGGGTTTGGACATGTATATACTGGATATGGGTTTGGACATGTATATACTGGATATGGTTTTAGACATGTATATACTGTAGATGGTGTTGGACATGTATATACTGTAGATAGTTTTGGACATGTATATACTGTATGTGGTTTTGGACATGTATATACTGCGGATGGGTTTGGACATGTATATACTGTATATGGTGTTGGACATGTATATACTGTATATGGGTTTGGACATGTATATACTGTAGATTGTTTTAGACATGTATATACTGTAGATGGTGTTGGACATGTATATACTGTAGATAGTTTTGGACATGTATATACTGTATACGGTGTTGGACATGTATATACTGTAGATAGTTTTGGACATGTATATACTGTAGATAGTTTTGGACATGTATATACTGTATGTGGTTTTGGACATGTATATACTGCGGATGGGTTTGGACATGTATATACTGGAAATGGTTTTGGACATGTATATACTGTAGATTGTTTTAGACATGTATATACTGTATATGGTGTTGGACATGTATATACTGTATATGGGTTTGGACATGTATATACTGGATATCACTGACCTTGCATATACCAGTGCACACTGCTGATTCTCCGTAGGCATACTTGAGAGCCACCACATCATGGGTGTTCATGTTAAAGTGCTGCAAACAGAAAATATCTAAAATTTACAATCACTGTTTTGGGTTATTATGGACATGTATATACCGTATATGGTTTTGGACATGCATATACTGTATATGGTTTTGGACATGTCTATACTGTATATGGTTTTGGACATGTCTATACTGTATATGGTTTTGGACATGTCTATACTGTATATGGTTTTGGACATGTATATACTGGAGATGATTTTGGACATGTATATACTGTAGATGGTGTTGGACATGTATATACTGGATATGGGTTTGGACATGTATATACTGGAAATGGTTTTGGACATGTATATACTGGAGATGATTTTGGACATGTATATACTGTAGATAGTTTTGGACATGTATATACTGTATGTGGTTTTGGACATGTATATACTGTATGTGGTTTTGGACATGTATATACTGGAGATGATTTTGGACATGTATATACTGTAGATAGTTTTGGACATGTATATACTGTAGACGGTTTTAGACATGTATATACTGTAGATGGTGTTGGACATGTATATACTGGATATGGTTTTAGACATGTATATACTGGATATGGTTTTAGACATGTATATACTGGATATGGTTTTAGACATGTATATACTGTAGATGGTTTTGGACATGTATATACTGCGGATGGGTTTGGACATGTATATACTGGAAATGGTTTTGGACATGTATATACTGTATGTGGTTTTGGACATGTATATACTGTATATGGTGTTGGACATGTATATACTGTAGATAGTTTTGGACATGTATATACTGTATGTGGTTTTGGACATGTATATACTGTATATGGTGTTGGACATGTATATACTGGATATGGTTTTAGACATGTATATATGGTTGAGGGGAAGAGCAGGAAGGTCATCATCAATAATCTATGATTGGAGAGTCCATAATGACCGTTGTATTTTATAGAGAAGGGCCTAAGGAAAATGAAGACTATCAGTGGAGGGGTCACGAGAGTGCCTTCCCTACATAATTATTTCTGGTACAGCCCTTACATGATGCCTTACAATCTAAATATTTTCTCTTTGTTTACAATTTTACACAAAATACAGTTCCCTTTTCTCCCACCTCCATGTAAGTAGGACACACATGTCCCATGTGTCAAATCATTTGAGTTGGAAATGTTGATTGATGTTCTGAAAGGTGATATGTGACATCATTGAATTTCTCTCTTTTTTTATCAGCTTAAGATCTACTGCCGATACAGAAGGCAGCGGAAATCAACTGAAGGAACAAACACCTTCTTGGTTAATTTATATCTTATGTAGAAAATCTACAAAGATTATTGTTGTGGTAATTCACTGTACTCTGGGTTTGTTCCTTTGAAATGTTATTTATGTTTGAACGGTACTGATATAACAGTGTACCTTGGGTTTTCGTCACTTTGAAATGTTATTTAATTTTGAACGGTACTGATATCACACTGTACCTTGGGTTTGTACTGGTTTACGAGCTCTAGAGCCTTTCCGAAGTTAGTGGCTGCGTTCTGTAGAACACCCCGTGAATAAGCATCGTTGGCATCCTCTAGAATCCTTTCCAGCTCCTCCATCTCGGAAGCCTTGACAGGAACATCCGGCTTCTTCTTACCATTCGTCTTCTGCAGCACCTGAAATAAACCATTCTCGTCCTGCTCAGTCCGTTATGTTACTTGAAGAGAAAGTTTTCTATGTAGGGGCTTCTGTTTCCTCTTACTACAAACTCTACAGACATGTCTTAAATAAACAACATGGCAATAAGGATAAATTCAATTAACATTTTTTTCAAAAATTCACTTATTTTTTAAGCTTTGTTTTGATAGAGTAAGACATTTTGTACAAGAATATATTTTCCTAAAATTACACAGGTGTTTTCATGTATTTTGTGAGTTGTTTTTTCATCTAAAGAATAGGGAAAACATTATTCAAACTATGTACCAGTCTAAAGTTGAAATACATATAAAGCTTTGTAGATCCCCCGCTATTCCATCTTTGCGTATTGCAGAGTTATCTTCTCTTGTGAGCAGGTATTGATTTTTACGTCATTGGTTTGTGTGAGAAAATTAAGTTGTTTTTTCAAAAATTTTTTTGACATTATTCTCACAAACAAATAACGTAACAATCAATACCTGCTCACAAGAGAAGATAAATCTGCAATGCGCAAACACGGAATACATTTGCAGGTTTAACTTTATGCAGACTGCTTTACTGTCACTTGTCCTAAAGAATTTTCAGAATTTGCCAAGTTGATATTTCTCATATTTTTTCTAGGTCGCAAAAAAACAACTTTTGTGAAGTGTGAGAGACAAACAATACCGTAGGTGAACTGTGTCCATTCTGCTTCACAACTGGAATAACCTCAGGAACAGGGATCTGCAATATTGAAATCAACACTATATCATCATCTGTCAGTTTCAATTTCTATACATGTTTTATAATTTGCATCAATATCATATATTAAAATCTGCAGGGGTAAAGGGATTTCACCTAACTTGGTCTGTCTGTGATTGAACTTTGTATGCGTGAACTTTGGGTTTAACACTGTGTGCCCAGGAGAAGTGGGGCCCAATATGGGAAATATGAGTACATTCATAATTTAGAGCTTTACCTCCACAGGAGGAGTGGGGCCCAATATGGGAAATATGAGTACATTTATAATGTAGAGCTTTACCAACTCCAGATATATCACAACTGCCATGTTTATATAACCTTCAATTTATTTGGGTTTTAACACGGTTCATAAACAAGAGGCCCAATGGGCCTGCATCGCTCACCTGGTATAAATCTCACACTTGTAACCTTAAAAGTGATCTAAAATAAAGCTACAGGCAAAATATCAGAATGTATGTTTAAAATTCATTCNATGCTACTGACTAAATATCAACATCCTGAGCCTTTTGGTTATTCAGAACAAGTTGTTTAAATATTTTGAACATATTTGCTCCTTGTGACCTTGAATATGATTCAAGGTCATACATTTGAACAAACTTGGTAGCCCTTGATCCTAGTATGCTACTGACTAAATATCATCACCCTGGGCATTTTGGTTATTCAGAAGAAGTTGCTTAAAAAATTTAACATATTTGAACCCTGTGACCTTGAATATAAGTCAGGCATTCACTTTAACAAACTTTGTAGCCCTTCATCTCAGCATGCTACTGGCCAAATATCATCAACCTGGGCATTTTGGTTATTCAGAAGAGGTCGTTTAAAGATTTTACAAATTTGACCCCTGTGACCTTGAATATAAATCAAAGTCATTCACTTTAACAAACATAGTAGTCCTTGATCCCAGCATGCTACTGATTAAATATCAACATCCTGAGCCTTTTTGTTATTCAGAACAAGTTGTTTAAATATTTTGAACATATTTGCTCCTTGTGACCTTGAATACAATTGAAGGTCATTCATTTGGACAAACTTGATAGCCCTTCATCTCAGCATGCTACTGGCGAGATATCATCACCCTGGGCATTTTGGTTATTGAGAAGAAGTTGTTAACAGTTTTTTTAAGACAATTGAGCCCTGTGACCTTGAATACAATTGAAGGTCATTCATTTGAACAAACTTGATAGCCCTTTACCCAAGCATGCTACTGGCCAAATATCATCTCCCTGGGCAGTTTGGTTATCTTAAAGTTTTTAACATATTTGACCCCTGTGACCTTGAAAATGGGTCAAAGTCATTAATTTTAACGAACTTTGTAGCCCTTCATCCCAGTTTGCTTCTGGCCAAATATCGACACCCTAGGCCTTTCGGTTATTAAGAAGAAGTCGTTTAAATTAAAATATTGACGCCGGACGACGGACGGACGACAGACGGACGCTGCGCCACGGCATAAGCTCACTTGGCACTTCGTGCCAGGTGAGCTAAAAATTGGATAGAAAAAAATCCAGATTTATTAATGAATGGGAGCCAATACAAGAAATATAGGTAAACTTGTAACAGAGGTAGTCTCAATAGGTTATTTACCTATATTGGTAAACTTGTAACAGAGGTAGTCTCAATAGGGTATTTACCTAAAGTAAACTACTTTGCAGATATGAGAAAATGGTAGTATCTCAATAGAGAGGCTTGCCAGGACTTTCAAAATACATGAAAGAAATGAGTTTTATAATGTATAGCATTTTTCAACTCAAGAGAGATCACAATTGCCATGTTTATCTAACCTTCCATTCGTTTTGTTTTAAACATGGTTCATGAAAACATAGCTAGACAAAATTTATTTTTATAAGACTTCCAGGACTTAATCTACAGTTGATCCATAAGTATTATGTTATAAAATATCATTCAATTGAAGGCTCTTTTTTATTATCATATTTTAACATGATTTTACCAATTGCCTCCCCTTCCCCTTCATGACTAAATATCAATGTTATCAAACAAGTCTCAACCTTTACTTGTCTCCATGATGGATTCCGTGGGTCAGCCTTCTCCTCTTCATCATCATTGACCAATTCATAAGGGTCCTGGAAAATAAAAACGTACATAACATTACAAGGTATTCCAATTCATGTCATACGAGATAAAACGGAGTAAATTACTAGTCCAGGATTACACTGAACTCTCTAATGTTGGCTTACCTCGTCTGAGGAGGAAGTGTCGTCTCGTTCGTAGTCTGTCGGCAGCTTTTCTAACTCCTCACTGAAAACCAGAACATCAGGATGAGTTTTGTAACCAAATGTCATCTCAATATGTTAGGGCTGTTCTGTAATTTATCATAGGGGGAGGTGGAAGGCACCTGTATTAATGTTTCATGAGTGGTAATGTTAAAACCAGATCTGCCTACCATCCCTTATATTGAATCACTGAATCACTTTTAAAAAATTGTTGTGGGGTCTCTGAAAAAGTGCCTCCGACCTGCTGGAACTGCCCAAATTAGAATACTCTGGTGTTTGTTATTAATCGTCATTCCCAACACATTAACAGAAAATGGTTAAAACATGATGTATAAATAACTGAATTTTTTGGCAGTTTGACTCTAATGTCCAGAACTAGTTTAAAACTATGGAACCCACATTGTAAAATTTCAATATAACCAGAACTTTAATAAGTCCAATCAGAATTCTATGGGAACAGAACCTGGCACTTGCCTATAGTCTAGATTTATCCCTGAATCTATCTGATTGCGCCACGGATCTAACCATTTTTTTCATTTTTTTCATTTTTTTTCAGTACTACATTTAAAGTGTTAACATGTTAACAGAACATCATTTGACTAATTGTATGACTTTGAAAGCTTTGGTTTGGTTTGGTTGTGACTTAAATCCTATTAACAGCAATGGTAATTCAAAGATGAGCCAGGTTTTGGTGGAAGAGGAAAACAGAGAATCTGGAGAAAAATCAACCCGAGGCCAGTACCTTGCGACTTCCCCATGTAGGCCTCGATCCTGTGACCCAGCGGTGGAGGGTTAGTGATCGTAGACATCAGACACCTTAACCACTCGGCTTTGAAAGCACTCAACAAGTTGGGGATTAGATGTATAATGGAGGGAAGGCTATCGTTAACAATATAAGACTTACTCCATGGCGTTAACAATATAAGACTTACTCCATGGCTTTAAATGCCCTTGACAAGTTGATGATTCGTTTCTCCCCTGGAAGATTCCTTATCTGAGGCGGTAAATTTGCCTCGTCCTCATCATCAAACGCATTTTCCTCTAAAACCTTCCTTAGCTTTTCGTCAGTTAGTTTTTTGTCCTTCTCGTACCGAAAGTCCTTTCCCTGATGCTCCAGGTCGCGGATGTTACTGTCTGATGCATGTTTGTTGTTCTTACAGATATCCAGACCTTTCTTGTTGACAGCTATGGCCTGATCCAGGCGTCCAAGTTCATTAAACGCTTGAGCAAATCGGTAGTGGCCCTGCAATAAATTAATAATAGTTAAATAAAATGTATACAAGTACACAAAACAAATAGGGCTTCAAAACCTCTCTAGCTACTTTCTAGTGGATCTGATTGCTCATTTCAATGTTTCGTATTAGAAAGCAAATCACTGACTGATACGCCAAAAGCTATTCCAGAAATAGACATATAAGGAGAAACCCTTTGAGTTTAAATCATATAATTATATTCTTATATAGAACAGCCCTTATTAAATCTAAATGACATTTTCCAGTAAATACAATATAACCCCAAAAATATTCCTGGTTACTCTTGAATTAATATATCCCACTAATCTTTGTTAAAAATTGGGAACTGAATCAAGATTGCAGTGTAACATTACAATACAGACCTACAGATTGACTTCTGTCAAACTCCTGTTTATTGCTTATGTTACAATAATACTTCTTTTACTTCTATGTATTGCTTTCACAGAAACTAATTTGCTTACTCTGTTTATTGCTTATGTTACAATAATACTTCTTTTACTTTCATGTATTGCTTTCACAGAAACTTATTTGCTGGAGTAAACACTGTCAGAAACAATCTCACATCCATCGGGGACTTACCTTGGGCCAGTCAGGTTTAAGTGTGACAGCTCGTCTTCCATCAGCTAACGCTTCCCTGTAAATATTACATAGAGTTACCATCTAATGTCTTCACTCATAGGACATTTTCTCAAATACTACAATTTTCAGTTTACAGCACCAAACCTATAAATAAATGGTGATTTCAGATTCAGAAAGGTTTTGCACACTGACTACTATTCACTCTAAGGGTGCAGATTTTATTTTTATATGAAATCGCTGTCAGTTTTTATCAACCCACTGATCTCTCACCTGTACTTCTTCAGTCGGTTGTAAGTCTGTGCTCTGTTGCCGAAGAAAATGTGGTTAAAAGGGCTGAAAATCAGGGAGAAAATTAAATTAAAATCTCAATAATCTTTAATTACATTCTATAACACACATATTGGGGGAAAGGAATATGTATTTCTGGCTAGCCCAGATTAATTTTACAGCATCAAACTAATGCAATCTGATTAAAATCATATGTTACATGGCTTTGTTAACTTTGTACTACCCCTGAACATCTCAGTGGGCCGCGGTCAAGGTCACGTTCCGGTGACCTTTATATTATAAATATTCATTAAATTTTGACCAATCAGAGACCCTCTTTCAAAAGGGCACTCGGTGTTGTAACAAATATGGGGGACATTGATAAGAATGATGCGAAAGTTCTGAAGTTATCTGAAACCCGAACAGAAAAAAGATATTCAAAGCTTTATTAGAGAAGAAAGACTGTATGGCGGTTGTTACCCTATGGGTACATTTTCCTTGGCGTCATAGAAACGTCAGTTCCCGCCGCCATATCTGTTTTGGAAAACTAATCTGTTCGATACCCCTCGCTATTTATCTATCAACCATGATATTCTGATTCGCTGGCAAACTTTTGCCAGCGCGCTTCTGATTGGTTCATCTAAAGGTCACTTGAACGTGACCCTGACTACGGTACATTTAGATGCTCAGGCAGAGACATGTAACAGATGATTTTAATCAGATTGCAAACAAACGCATCTAAGGTAACAATTCAAGAAGTCTGTGACATTTTTTAGATTCAAGTGATTTTGATTTGAAATTTGTCAAAACAGTTTAAACTGATCAACTTCCTATGAAAATGGCTTAATTTTCAAGAGACAACCACTAGATGAAAATTGTGCAGGAAGGTTTTATTCTCCCTTATATAGTTATACAGTACTATTATAACAATAAGGTATGGGGTATTCTGGAGTGAAAAGGCAGTAAGCTATCGAACCAAAGAAAACTTGCACAGGTGACAGAAGCTTTAAAGATTTTGCCAACAGGTTAATAAAAAAAATTTAAATGAGTGACAAGGTCTATGAAAGTGATTAAAAATTTATTTTAATTTTACAATAACCTGACAGATTGCTCCAGAATCAATCATATGGGAGGGGTCCAAGTTTTCAGACTCAATAATATACTTAAACTGGTCTATCTTATTAGAAATAGTGGGCTGATCTGAAATAACACACACACACCGATTAAATTTGGATGGGACCTTTTTATCTCCTTTAGGGAAGAAAACATAGGATATTGTCAGGGGTTAACTGCAAAGTTTGGGAATTAGACATAAATGTGAAATAGTTTCGATTGGGAATGAGGCCCATTATCCACCTCAAAAAGTCACTAGAAAAGACACTGCAATTAAATATGGAATAGCCCTACAGTGTTCTCCCCAGAATGTTTTGAAAGAAGCATAATATTTCAATATTGCTGTTAAAACAGCACTCTATGTAAAATCAAAGCAGCATGGTAACTTTAGGTTTACTATGAATATATAGCAGAGAAGATCTAGGATAGCAGCATGGCAAGAAATTATAGGAGCATGGTGCCATGCTGCAAAAACAGCCTGGGGAGAACACTGCCCCTAACCACCACTTGAGTGCATGTTTTCCCTACATTTTACCAGTGTTAATATGGGGGGGACACTTACTCTGCTTTGGCGGCCTTTGTATAGTAGTCTATGGCCGTCTCAAACTTCCCGTGCTGGTACTGCTCGTTACCAGCATCCTTGAACTTCAAAGGATCAGTGGCATCCTTAAATGATAGAAAAGCTTTGATAGATCTCATTGGGTGAAAAATTATTACCAGAAGAAAATGCAACATCATGATCAAGATTTGGACTTGGGACATCCACACTACATCGACGCTCTAAACATCTAAGCTAAATAGTCCAGTCAATTTTTAATCTTTCCTCAAACATTTACCAGACATTCACAAGAAGAAGTGAGTTTTTATGCTGAACCCCAATTCCCAATATAACTTCCAGAAAGCAAAAAACGCTAAGTGTAGGATTGCTCAGATTTACATCTCTCAAGGTGATTTTCTTTCCCTGTCCTTGTTTTTAAATACCCTAACTCTTAAACAGTTATAATTCTGTATAATGCATTGTGAGATGTTTATATGGAACCCTACTGTATAAAACAGTTATAACTCTGTATAATGCATTGTGAGGAGTTTATATGGAACCCTACTGGATAAAACAGTTATAACTCTGTATAATGCATTGTGAGGAGTTTATATGGAACCCTACTGGATAAAACAGTTATAACTCTGTATAATGCATTGTGAGGAGTTTATATGGAACCCTACTGTATAAAACAGTTATAACTGTATAATGCATTGTGAGATGTTTATATGGAACCCTACCGTATAAAACAGTTATAACTCTGTATAATGCATTGTGAGAGGTTTATATGGAACCCTACTGTATAAAACAGTTATAGTTCTGTATAATGCATTGTGAGATGTTTATATGGACCCCTACTGTATAAAACAGTTATAACTCTGTATAATGCATTGTGAGGAGTTTATATGGAACCCTACTGGATAAAACAGTTATAACTCTGTATAATGCATTGTGAGGAGTTTATATGGAACCCTACTGGATAAAACAGTTATAACTCTGTATAATGCATTGTGAGGTGTTTATATGGAACCCTACTGTATAAAACAGTTATAACCCTGTATAATGCATTGTGAGATGTTTATATGGAACCCTACTGTATAAAACAGTTATAACCCTGTATAATGCATTGTGAGATGTTTATATGGAACCCTACGGTATAAAACAGTTATAACTCTGTATAATGCATTGTGAGAGGTTTATATGGAACCCTACGGTATAAAACAGTTATAACTCTGTATAATGCATTGTGAGGAGTTTATATGGAACCCTACTGGATAAAACAGTTATAACTCTGTATAATGCATTGTGAGGAGTTTATATGGAACCCTACTGGATAAAACAGTTATAACTCTGTATAATGCATTGTGAGATGTTTATATGGAACCCTACCGTATAAAACAGTTATAACTCTGTATAATGCATTGTGAGGAGTTTATATGGAACCCTACTGTATAAAACAGTTATAACTCTGTATAATGCATTGTGAGATGTTTATATGGAACCCTACTGTATAAAACAGTTATAATTCTGTATAATGCATTGTGAGATGTTTATATGGAACCCTACTGTATAAAACAGTTACAAACCTTTGAGCGAATACTTTTTCTCTTTTCTTCTGCGAAATCTTTTGCGTCTCTAGCCAAGGACATAACCACCATTTCATCTGAAACAAAACAAAACATCTTACAGCAAATAGTTTGCATTTGTTACATGAACAATCTGTGCAATTTTTACCTCAAGTCCTGTAGTTCATAATCTACTGCAACACAAGGTTAAATATGTACTACAAATTTTATTGTATTCCAACATAAATGGTGAGTAGTTCGTAGGTCGTCTCAAAGCAGTTCACAAATTATTATCTGTGGTTATAGGGCCTTCGCAACCAGCTAATAATTTTTCTGAACTCCCTGGGGAGTATACAGCCAGTGCTGCTATTTCGGCGCCCACAGCTAGTATCTAACAATTCTACCACTGTACTCATTTACAGCCAAGTAGACTGGAACAAGCGGAGTACAGTATCTTGCTCAAAGATACAACACAGTGCCGTGCCGTGACTCGCACCCGCAACCCTTCAGTCACGAGTCCGGCGTCCTACCACTAGAATACTGTGTCTTAACAAGCTTACTCAATCGGTTAGAGAGAAAGTATAACGATCTGAAGCCCATGGTTCGAATCCCAGTCCTGCCCCACTGACTTTTTTACACTCAAAATACCGATGTCGATAACAATATATTTATTTCATTTTTAACATTTCTCGTTTAAAGTACCGAAAGGTATGACTTTCTTTTTAGAAATGCTTAGAAAAGCTATAGCCTTGCCAGTAAAAACAGTTTCCAGAACATTGTTACACTTTCAGGCAGTGGTACCAGGATCCTTAATCTATTGTAACAGTATAAACTGTAATGATGCTTCCAGGTCCCCGTGACACTTACACAATTTAGCGATGTAAAGAACTGCACACTTGGCCTCCTTCTCTCTCAATTTACTAGGCGGTACCTTCATGGCTTTTACACTGGAAAAGTAAGAGATTGCAATGATTATAGCCCACAGTTTGTAGACCAATGCTTATCACTTTATTTTCTTTATTTAATTTGAATACTTTCCCATGTGAAACTTTAAGGGCAAGTAATGATCATTATTGAAATTTGTAGGAAACTTCACAATAGATATTACTGATCAATGACCGTCGCTTTTCTTTACCAGGTAATTTGAGCATTATAAATATTTAAATGTTCAAGACATACACCCTGAAAATCCAAGTAGGATAATTTGCGATAAAATATTCAAGATTGCTAATAGCTATCAAAGTTTTACTTTATATATAAACAATGGATGTTCTAAATGTGATAACAACATTTTTTCTTTTACATGAAATTTTAAGATATTAATAGCTATTGTAGTACAAATCTTGTTGATTATTTTCCAAACAGTCGGAACCATATTTAACAAGCAAGACCTCCTGGCAAGAAGGATCAATATACAAGTTCACACAGAAAACAGAGAGAATAAAAAGCTTGAGGTCGTTCTTTTTTGATTAGGTGAAAACAACTTTGTATATCTCTCTTACCATAGTTTGACCATAAGATCAAATTTTTGCACACTGGAAAAACAGACACTGTACGTAAGAGCTTCAGCTTTTTGATTATCAATCTCATTTATACACTCCAGAAGCTGCAACAGGAAATTCTTCTTCCTCTGTAACAATAAACAACATTATATACACTACTTATTACATCTGTAATTCTTCTTCCTCTGTAACAATAAACAACAATATAATATACTACTTATTACATCTGTAATTCTTCTTCCTCAATAACAATAAACAACATTATAATATACTACTTATTACATCTGTAATTCTTCTTCCTCAATAACAATAAACAACATTATAATATACTACTTATTACATCTTTATCTGGAAATTTGTGTCTCAATCTTTATAACATTACACAACATTATAATAAACTACTTATTACATCTGTATCTGGAAATTTGTGTCTCAATCTTTATAACATTACACAACATTATATACACTACTTATTACATCTTTATCTGGAAATTTGTGTCTCAATCTTTATAACATTACACAACATTATAATATACTACTTATTACATCTGTATCTGGAAATTTGTGTCACTTTATAACATTACACAACATCACCAACCATCAACAAATTCAAGGTTTTTTTTAAGGATTTAAGTTTTGGTTGCCAAACTGAGCACAAGAACATGTTGTTTATGTTTATCAGTTCAGATATTATCATAAGTACATTAAAAGGCTAGGAATAAGAAACACATTCTAAACAGTATATAGGTACTGGGGCTGCAACGGTTACAAACAAGAGCTGTAGGAGAACAGCATAGCTCGTCTATTAAAATTATTTTTGTAAAAAGTGCTAATAGTAATTTGGCCATTACAGGATGTCCCATCTTAGATAATAGATCAGGAAACTAGAACTACATTTACTTCTCCATACTTAAATCTACCATGTCTCAAAGTTTCAAGCTCCTAATTTGTCGGAGATGTCGTTTAAAGGCATACCATCAAATTTACCCCTTTTGGGTCCCCTGGGGTGTCAGGGACTTTATTTGTACAATCTTGAAACCCTTCCCCCTAAAGAAACTCCCTGTCAAATTTGGTTCAAATCTGCCAAATAGTCTAGGAGATATTGTTTAAAGGCAAACTGTCCAATTTACCCCTCTTGGCCGCGCCCTCCTGTCCCCTGGGGGGTCAGGGAATTCATTTGTACAATCTTGAATCCCCTTCCTCTAAGGATGCTTCCTGCCAACTTTGGTTGAAATCTGCCCAGTAGTTTCAAAAGAACTAGAACTTGCCCTAAAACTTTAACCTGTAGAACTTGTCCAAAAACTTAAACCAAAAGATTCATGTTTTGGACCAATATTGAGCAAAATATGGTCCAATTTGTTGCTCAGGAACCTCCAAGCAATCGTTGTAACCATATTACAATGTAAAATTAATCAAAAGTTGAGTAAAACACCAAAACACAGATTGCCCAAAACTTTAACCAACTGGGACGCATACTGTGTACTTCCCCCCCTATTCTTTGAATAGACAAGCTAAAAATGCCACTCGGATAACCGTGTGTACTTAATATCCGTACAGAAACCAGGTAACCGTGTCTTCTTGTGCAATGAAATACGGCCAACAATGGCTCATTATTTTGATAGAAATATGATTACTTATTTCATTAAATGCATAAACACAGATAACTCAATAGTTATATCTTGTGAATACAATTGTAAAACATTGTAAATTCTCAAAATCGTTATGAATTGGTAACATATCTCTAGCCTCCCGATAGTTGTTTTCCAGGTCTGTCAATCAGCAGTCAGGAGTGACGTTTCTGCCTGGGAAACTTGTCAATTAATAATGACCTACATTTTGAGACGGTTTTCGGGTACGTAGATTTGCTAACCGGATAATACCTGTGACCGGATACTCGGTTACCCGTTCCAGCCCTAATAGGTACTCATCAAAATATGCAAATACGGTAAGCAGATTTTATTATTAAAATAACTTCAGGAAATGAACTCAGATTTACTAAGTGCGAGTGATAAAAATTTGATGCTACCCAGTACTGGTAGTGTCATGTTACCTACCAATTTCCTGATCATGAATGCTGTGATGGCTTCTACCAAGTCGGTAATAGCCCATTCCTCCCAGTCAAGGCTGGATAATTCTGTCTCTCTGATAAATTAAAATGAAGAAAAACAGTTACAATAAAATCATTATACATTGTGTAAAAGGGAACAAAATTTTAACTCCAACTGTGATATGAAAATAAGTTTTATATTTTTTGATGCAAATGAATGATATGTTCTCTCATATTCATAAACAAAATCACAATTGAAAGTGAAAGTGTGCCAAAAAAGTCCTTGTTACCAAAATAAACCTGCGAGAATAATGCCTGAAACTTTGCAGGAATGTATTTTAATATCAAGTCCAAGAAAAACGACAAATCTAGGACTTCACCAGAAATGAACTACGATAAGGTATATACAGAACAGGTTAGAATATTCTATTTATATTTTTATATTCCTAGCATCCTACCTCTTTTTGTTTTATATCAGAAATCAACCACGATATAGTCTATAACTGTACAGAATAGGTTAGAATATTCTATTTATATTTTTATATTCCTAGCATCCTACCTCTTTTTGTTTTATATCAGAAATCAACCACGATATAGTCTATAACTGTACAGAACAGGTTAGAATATTCTATTTATATTTTTATATACCTAGCATCCTACCTTTTTGTTTTATATCAGAAATCAACTACGATATAATCTATGACTGTACAGAATTGGTTAGAATATTCTATTTATATTTTTATATTCCTAGCATCCTACCTCATTTTGTTTTATATCAGAAATCAACCACGATATAGTCTATAACTGTACAGAATAGGTTAGAATATTCTATTTATATTTCATATATTTATATTTTTATTTCTATATTCCAAGCATCCTACCTCTTTTTGTACTTTATAAGTCCTGAGTTCCGGACCAGTTCCATCCACGAGGCAGGGACTATACTGTTAACTGCGAACAGGAAGGGTCCCATGGCAAACACGCGGATGTTACTCTCCTGTTTGTCTAGGAACTTGGTGCTCTTCTTCAGCCAAATATTGGCATAATCAGCTGTGGGGAAAAAACATCTTTTTTATATTGTGTTATTCAATTGTCTGTTGTTTGACTATGTTCTGTAGCTGAAAGCAACCTGTGGAAACATTCTGCCCCAAATCAGTCATATATTGTATAACAGGTTTAACTCATTCACCCCTGAGACACATTTTGAACTCATCCAAATAAAAGGTTGGAATAATTCTTAATGAAATTTCAGGGGTGAATGAGTTAAAAATAATTGTAGTGTGAACAATGATTGTATAAACATGCACAGTTACATGTATAAAGGATACATTTAAGTTTACAGTTGGAAACAGTAAAAAATAATATATATATATCTTTTCTGCATGAAAATCTCATAAAACAGATTACAATTTTGCCGAGTGAAAGAAGCCTGTCCTTACAAATTCAGCTGCGTTTTTCTGTGTAATTTAATCCACATGTCTTCAAAACAAAACTGCAACATTCTGTTCAAAGGCAACACATCACTGAAACTAAATTTTAACTGGTATACTAAAGTTACATAGGGGTGAATGAGTTAATACTATGTTGAAAGTGTAGTCCTTACTGAATGTTTTTTCTGGTGTGTCTGGTGAGGGTTCCTCGTCAGAGGAGTCCACTAAATCAGGGATTCCATCGCTGTCTGAATCCGCCATCACTTTTATATCATCTGGAAAATGCGTGGAGATGAAGGTATGCACACTCACTGAAAAATATAATGTCATCATCTTAAAAATTCAGTCGTTCAGCATGTCAACAACTTAATGCTGAAATGATATCAGAATGTGCAGGGAAGTACATCAAAACTTACAAGGAAGTCAACACATTGACTATCTATATATTCTTGACAGAAGAACCAGGGCTTTCATTAGAACCTTGAGAATAGGTTTAGACACTCCAAAATTATATTTTACTCTTGGTTTGAAAGGATATATGTCTGGGATACCCGAACCCGGGTAGCAAGTAGTGTTGTTTTTGGAGACAGAAATTTTGAAAAAGGAGGGAGGAAAGTAAAAGAACTGGACTGGGTTGATTGTTGACAATAAGGTAAGCAATTGGTAGAGCATCTGTCTTTCCTGGATTTGCACCCCAGACTGCTCTGCATTTTCTGCTCTCATTTCCTATGTACTACTGTCTACATAGACATCCAGCATTTTTTTCTCTACATATATTTTACAACAGCCTGTTCTTTTATAAATAGAGAAAATATAGCATTATATTTTTTCTTTGAAATCGGGAAGGCATTTTTCAATTCTACTTTATTTTTGTAAAATCCAGCACTTTGTTTCAGAGGAAGCAGCATTTATTATTACGCTGTCACACCTGACAAAATATCATTAAATTTACAAAATTGGCTCAGATTTCGATAGTCTGTGTTATTTAAAGAACAGATTAGTTTAGCAATCTGAGACAAAGTTAAAACCATCATGACTAGTGTCATCCGGTTTAATTAATGATTCAGCCGACCAGGGTTTCACTTAACCCCCATATGGGGTATATGACAGCCCTAATATTTAGTATAATGGCTTTTGACTCTCATAATTTTAGAGGTTTGTCATATAAAGGGGTAAGAATTAGCAATTTATGCCTAATTTTATCCCTAACTTTTATGTTTTTCATAAACACAGTTACACTGGTGATACTGTTATCCAAGAGTTTTAATTCAGTGTTAATTTGCTAGTCACCTTGTTACTATAACTGTCGTTGGACTGAGGCTTATATTATTTCATTACCTATGGGCAATTCTTAATTATATATCATAATCAGATAACTGTGGTATTGATGAGAGTTTGTAACTGAATTATATGCATTGTAAAGAATGCCTCGGATTCTGAACAAAATTACATTTATTTTATTTACTTTTAAATCCTTATTTACTCCGTCTAGTTAAACTTTGACTCTAAATGACCCCTCAAACAGGATACCTCGACTTGCCTTGAGTGACACTGCACATGTATTTACACCTACTGTTTTTTTAATAATGATGACACAAACCTTGAAAATTATATGCAGAAATTGTTACATTACACATGTTAAAACTGCAAGCAATGCATGTTATTTTTGGCACCAACAAATGCAAGCATGAATGCAAAATGAAAATTAGATTCACCACATTTATAAACATATAACAAGTATCTTTACCTCTATTCATTGATTACCTGGGATTTGTACAAAAGCTAAATCCATGGTGGCATTCAAGTTATTTTACTATTAGTATAATTGTAACATAATTCCATAGCGTGTTGTACATGTAGTCTAAGGTGTTCAGTTGAAACTTTCCAAAGGGGAATTCCCAACATGGAAATAGACTTCTGGGATTTCCAGTCAACACCCCTAGCTACACAGTATATGGCTGTATAGTGTATATATATGCAAATGTGCAACTTCCTTGTAGCAAACTCTTTCCTATACTGCTGTATTAGGCTACTGCAATTAATATTCAAATAGATTGAGTATCTTCCGGTCCTTTCAACAACAACGAGATAATTTTCCATAATTATCTTGCAGAGCCCAAATTCTGTGACGTATCTAACATGACTGATACGTAAATACTCAAGCTAAAAATAGTACTGTTGAAATACAGAAAGACAATAATGAATGTTACGGAGAAAAAATGCACCACAAACCTTATTTTATGGATTGATGGACACAATGGTGAGATCATTTAACGTTATCATTACTCCATGAAATATTACCATAACAATAAATATTGTACATTCCAACAAGATATTGAAGACCTTGTCACAGGTTGACAGGTTTTGGTTATCACGCTTATTGAGAAGATATTGATTATGACAATAAGGATTACAAAATGTCACCTAAATCCTGTATAAATTTATGTCAGTAGTACACACACTTCCTGGTAGTTTATATAGCCCTGGAGCAGGTGCTCTCAAGTAGCAGAATGATCAACAGCTGTGAGTCATTAGGCCTATCAAGTCAGCAGCTCAGACAAGGGACCACTCCTTCAATACTGCAGTGCATCCCATTTTTGCACCTAAGCCAATTTTAAGACACAACCCAATTTTCTTGAACCACAACCCCTCCGACTCGTCAATATTTATCACTTATGTAAGAAACCATATCAAAAAGGACCATCCCAATAAATGTTTACGATTATATGTAGTTTTCCAGTAAAACCAAAAAGTACTCAACAGGTTTTCTGTCATTGTAATGCCGATAAAAAATCTTTGGACAAACCACCCTCTCCCCTCTTGGAAGTTGGGAAATGGCTTAATATAGGTTTAATAACTTGTGCCCAATCCATTTGCTTGGCAATAAAATATGTTTAAAATAAACCCCGTCCCCCGGGTGACCTCTTTCAATATTGTAATCCGCCTTCCCGCGAGATTATCAACCAAAACATTCTACACGCAAACCGATTTATCTACAAAGGTCACGGATAAACAAGCCCCTTTACCGGTACAACAACACAATGAGACATTGAAGTCAAGAGCACTTTTTTATATTCCAGTCACCGTTATTTTTGGCCCAAAAAATCGCATAGACAGCATCTATTTTCACAATATCTTATCTTTGTTTTGATAGAAATGTGCATTTGCACCCACCTTGGTTACGAACTTTGCTTACAGCATTGAACCGGTGAAAAATTCCTCAAACAAAGACCATTGTTTTAATACTAACTTCCGCGAGTGGCTCACCTATTTATGGATGGATGTCTCTCTTCGTCATATATGCAAATCACCGCATAACTTTCGCCTGCGCGCACATGGTCTTCTTGGAAATACAAAATGGCGGTTTCTATTTATTGTTGAGGAAGTAGGCAGCACAGCCTCGTTTTGAAATAGGGAAGTAAATATTAGCGCGAAATTCAAATGTTTCTTTGAACTTACCTTTACAGGGCGAATAAAAGGACTCTACAACCTTATTAAGATGCTCTGATACACATGGTAAGGCTATTTAAAAGTTGAGGCTGTTAATCTGAATGAAAGATGACAATAGCCCCACAGGATATGATAATTTGTTTGTTACAGTCTGTAACGTTAGTGCAGACTGGCAAATTCGTCACATTGTTTCTGCCATATAATTGCCTCCTTCACCATGATGAAGATCTTGCAATATTTATAACTAAGGCGCGGCAAGCCAAGGAACATTTTGGGGGACTAGTGACATAATAGGGACATAATATTAGATATGTGCATGTACAATTAAAACTATTTTACAGTTGAGACCATGGGTCTACAATGACACAATCCTGGCCTTAAAGGCTTCAGGCCGTGTGTCTATATCCACGATGTCTGGTGGAAGGGCATTCCAATCACGCACTGTCCTTGGAAAGAAGGACATTTTCCTTGTGTCAATGCGTGAGGACAGGAGTTGGTATGATCGGTTGTCATGTTGTCTTCCCGATTGTCTTGTAGGTTGTATCAGGCGGTTTTTGCTTGCTGATGGCGACTAACTCTCTATCAATTTTATACATCATTGTTAGTCGTGCATCTTTCCTCCTGTCTAAAAGATTTTTCCATTTTAGTTTTTCTAGTATCTCGCTGACACTTGCTCTGAGTCTGTGTTTGTTTGCCACATATCTAGCTGCCCTCCTCTGGACAGACTCCACTTAAGTTGTGTCGCTGACTGTGTAGGGGTCCCATACAGTGCTGGCATATTCTACCAGAGGTCTTACTAAGGCGGAGTATGCGGCTTTTTCCTTGATCCTTAATGATGGGATTTTAAGGTTACGACGTAGGAAGCCTAAGGTCTTGTTGGCTTTACTTGTTATATTGTTTATGTGTTCGCCCCAGCTGAGTTTGTTGGTGAATGTTAAGCCGAGATATTTAGCTGATGTGACTGCCTCTAGGATATGGTCGTGTAGGGTGTAACTGTAGTTAATGGCTTTTTTGAAGAGTTTCAGTTGATAATTTGTCCAAAAGCGCACTTGTCAAAATGCCGAGGAGCACCAGTACAGAAGAAGATTTGACTGAAATTCCTATCAATAAAAATTGTTGTATACACGCCTGAATGACGTCACGCAGCAACATGTGTGACGTTATCAGGCCTTCCGTGGTTTTGCTCAAAGTTGCAGGCAGTTTCGACACCTTCAAAAAGTTCACTAATTTGCAAGTAATGTTAGTGTTTAAATGTAAAATTTTGTATGTTTATATTACACGAGTCGGACTGATACGAACAGCTCCAAATGTGTGTGTGTGACAGTGATTAACATCGAAATAAATGTTTTTTCTTAGTTTTGATAGTTATGATTTTCGGTAACTTGAAGTTCTAAACTAAGTAATGCTGTTTGAGTAAGATGGCTGGGATCGGCTGAGATGAGGTAAATTTTCATGAATCGCAATTAAGACTCAGTCCTGAACAAATATAAAATTCCAAATCGATACCCAAAATTATATTTTTCATCGGGTCCGGGGCTTTCAACGGTCGTCTCTTTAATCAATATTCAAAGTCATAAACACAGGAAACATGATCGCGAGGTCACACATGCCAATTTACATTTGCAATTACAATGACACATAGTTAACTTACTATATAGCACGGAATGGCTCTTCATGTGTAATTATACTGAAAAATAATTAACCTAATTGAGGAATATATAATAGGCCTAATTTCTTTGTTCTTACAAATAAATTATCACAACATGTATTCCATGATATCAATATGTATATATATACATTAAAAACACGTGACACATAATTGTAAAAGTTCATGTTAACCACTCTATTCCGTCTTTGCGTATTGCAGAGTTATCTTCTCTTGGGAGCAGGTATTGATTGTTACGTCACTTGTTTGTGAGAGTAACGTCATCAATTTTTGAGAAAACGACCAGACTGATGGTATTCGAACCCGGAACCTTTCGAACTCTAGACGAACGCTCTAACGAATTGATCAATACCTGGTCGCCGGCGATCAACCCAGTTCAGTTCCGCTACAATTGTTTATACTATTACATAATTATCCATTATTTTATATTCAAGCTATGGCGAAATTTATTTACTGAATTTTACTATTGAAACAATGTTATTTATATACATAAAACCTATCAACTAAATGCCTGCTTCACTTCTCTTTACATCCTCAATATGTTTTTCTATGGTTATGCTCACTTACGTTCTCAGCACCCCTGGAATATGTCAGGACAAAATTGCTATAAATAGTTAGCTATTTTACTGGTTTCGGGAGAAACAACAACAACAGCAACAAAACAAAAAACGCTGAAAAATTGACCCATCGCTAAGCTTATACCTGTCCTTTGAATATAACATAGGAGCGAGACCCGATTCAAAGTCTGTCAATTTTACCGTTACGCCACAGCGTAAAGTGCGTAAATATCGTCTATTATTGGCTATTTGGTTGGAAATTTACCATTTTGAAGGAAATCAACAAAACACTCTTATATTTTTGAAAGCCTGCGCATTTGCTAAACAAATAAATATTTAGTGACATGCTTAAACATCGCCATACCAGTGCATGGTCATACCAGTGCATGGTGCATGTTCATACCAGTGTATGGTCATACCAGTGCATGGTGCATGGTCATACCAGTGTATGGTCATACCAGTGTTTGGTCATACCAGTGCATGGTCACTCGTAGAAAAGAATTTTTTGTTTTAGTTGTCACATGCGGAGGCTTTCATTTCTGCATGTTAACTATGCACAGCAACGCAATTTTGTTGCTAAAGTAGGGCATCTACGCATGCGCATTGGGGGGGTGGGGGGGGGGGGTGGTGTTCTGTTACTAGAAAGAAAGCCCAAATTAACCAATATGATGTTTATTACAGAAATTGGTAAATATATTCAAGTTATTTTTTTTACTTCTTATGAGGCCAAAAATGACCCATAATGCCCCAAGTCCGTTAATGTGTCTACTAGTAACTGAAAAAAATAATGTTTTCACTTTGGCACAACACACCCAAGAAAACCAAACTTGGCAAGCATACCTTCCTAGCCCACTCCAGAAACCCATACATCGACAATACTCTCCCCACTGACTCGAAGGTTGGCAAAGTATTTTCTGGGGAATCTGCCCCCGCAAAATTGTCCAGATAAATTAACCAATTCATAACCCGTATTCCTGGCAATATAGGTAATTGTTGATGTTACTCTCTGACAAATCTGTGCTGCAGACCTTAAACACATAGACAAACCTGTGTCACAGAAATGTCTTTTTCTACATTAAAACCTCTCAGGTTTAAGTCACCATGGTCTGTAAACATCTACACATATATTTATTTTAGGTTCCTTTTGAACCTTTGGCACTCTAGCCTTCTTTCAGTCCTAATTGAAGGATGTGGCCCATATAAAG